TTCTACCAGCCGATAGAAGCAGCTGGTGACTCTGCCTTTGGGGAGCTGCTATTGGCCAATAGAAACAGCTTCGTAGTGAGGGGAGTGCACGTGGGGCGCTCCTGTCAGGAGAACTCCACGGGCAGCAACACCTCACCCCGAAGCGGCTGGTGACTCTGCCTTCGGGGAGCTTCCATTGGCTGATAGAAATGGCTTCGTGGTGAGGGTACTGCACATGGGTGCTTGCCCCGAGGCCGCTTCTACCAGCCAATAGAAGCGGCTGGTGACTCTGCCTTTGGGGAGCTTCCATTGGCCTATAGAAACGGCTTCGTAGCGAGGGGAGTGCGTGTGGGCGCTCACCGCGAGGGCGCTTCTACCGGCCAATAGATTTCCTCCCACACACCCCCACACACACCCAGAGAGTCCCATGCGCACTCACCTCTGCACGATGCTGCTTCTACCAGTCGATAGAAGCAGCTGGAGACTCTGCCTTCGGGGAGCTTCCATCAGCCAACAGAAGCAGCCTTGTGGAGAGGTGAGTGCATATGGGGGCTCTAGGTTGGGGTGCATGTGGGGGAGGAAATTAAGTCACACCTGAAAAGATGTCCTAGCTGTTTTTTGGGGCTCAAAAAAAAAAAAAAAAGACCCGGCCTTATTTTATGAGAAACATGGTAGCAATACTAGGGAATTCTAATAGTTGAAGTGCACATATCTAAAGGCCACCAGGTTTGAGAAACACTGCTTAAGAAAAAGAATAAAAGGCAGCAAGGAAGACCCACCTCAAGACAGTTGCTAATTAAAGGGGCTGGAATACCCATATCTTCTACAATCTAGCCTTTTTCCTTATAACAAATCCAGATTAAAAAATGTGTGAGATCAAGCTTTCTGCTACTGATGGGAGATTGACAACTGATCCTTTTAGTTCTTTGTTGTCCTTTTATAAAGATTTATACTTGAAGTAGCATTTACTGGAGGTGTAGAGGAGCACAGAAATGATCATGGAGAAGTTTTCAGACACTGGTAGCAAAATATAAGCTTAACCCAGAAAATCAAGGCACCTTGAAAGAAAGGGAAGGAATAACTATCAATATTTCATTATTATAGCCCATATCAGTCAAATAAAGTTCTACTATTTCTAGTAGAACTTGTTTCCAGGCCTCAAAGGGCTGATTAGAAGGATTAAAAAGGGCAAATTTGGGAAAAGATGATCACTTTCAGTCTTCAGCTCCTCATATGGAACAGAAACTTTTACACATCTCTGTTATTCATAAATATGGAACCCGTGATCCTGAAAGTGTAAGATGGAGAGATGCTACCATATAACAAGAATTAAAGAGACAGGGAAGGATTTAGGAAAAGGTGTTCAATATTCTAAATGAATGTGATTGGGTTAGTCTGCTAAGTGACATGGATGGACTGATCCCAGTTGATGAACCAAGAAGAGAAGTGACTAGTGACTGTTTACTTGGAAAAGGACGGTTGATTTAGCATACTTGGTTTATGATTTTTTTTTATTTCTATGTATGGAATAGTAAAAGGATAATTTAAAAACATGGTTGCTTTGATGTTTATGATGAAAATAGAGGGAATCAGTGAAAGACTCAAGTGTAATGAAAAATTCTATATGTGGTACAGATATGTAGTAATGTCAAAGCTGGAATATATATATAAGTGTGTGTGTGTGAGAGAGAGAGAGAGAACTGTATGTATGTGATAATGTTAATCAAAATTATTGCTATATATGCTAGCATCCTGGCCTCTGCGGATGAAAAGGATGTCATAAATGCTGCCAGAAAGTTGAAAAAACAGTAAGGGTGAAGGTGTAGATAGGGTTACTCATGAAATATGGATGTGGTTTGCTTATGGAGTAGCTGTGTGTTTTGTTTAATGTGTGTGTGAAGACTTTATCTGTAATGAGGTTCCACAGAGATCTGGATAGCTCCCATGCTATTGATGCTTCAGAAGGCCCCAGAGACCTTGGTTGTTCTCCAGGCTTTGCATTAGGGTGGTAGATTCTCTTTTCTTGGATGCTAATTATTGGTGAAATGTTTGCTGGTACTCCAGTTCATTATCTTACTTCTTTCTTTTCTTCTCTGAATTATAGTTTTATTGTCTGCTTTTTAATATATTGTTTCCATATTGTTTGGTATATTGTGAGCTGCCCACAATCATTTGGAGTTGGATATCATAAAATCAATTGACAAATTAAAAATGAAACTGTGCTTGGGGCTTGAAGGAATGTCCTTGTTATTCCTTTATACAAAGGGGAAGGTATGGAGACAAGAGTAAACGGAAAATCTACACAATTTTATTAAGTATGTCTGGGAAAAGACTTGGTAGAATTCTGATTAATAATGTACAAGAGGTGGCAAAGAATAAAATTTGGGAAGTGGCTTTTATGTCAGGGTGTACAGACAAGATTTTTGCTCTTCAGAAGGCATTGAAAAATATATGAATATAAGAAAAGTACTGCATGTTTGTGGACTCAGATAACATTTATGATGAAAGTGAAATGGCTTGAATTATGAAAAAAAATTATATGTTGATGGAAAGTGGTAGAGCTATAGATTGTAAATTGCTACGAATTGTATGAAAGGATGGTTATTTAAATTGTATCGAAGAATGGTTTCTGAAAGTGGTACAGCTATAAATGATGAAAATAAGGCATGAATATCTGTTTATTGGAAACTTCTTGTAGACATTTTATGTGAAATAGAAAAAAAAATGAGCTTGATTTATGGTTTTGATGTTTACACAAAACAGATTATAGAAAAGGAGAATTATGCTGTAACCATAGAGCAAGAGGTAATTTTATAATTTCTAACTAGTTCTAAGTAGACTGGATGTTACTTCTTTATTTCTTTATTCTTTATTTCTTTTCTTCTTTCCCTTTTCTTTTTATATCTTTTCCTTTCTTGCACTTTTAGTATTTTCTTTGGGTTTTTTCTTACTCATTAATATGTATTAGCTTGCATGCTCCTTAAATATTTAGCAAAATATGATAATAAATTTAATTAAAATATTGCAAAATTTTAAAGAAAAAAACAAGAGTGAGAATAAATGAATACCTAGTGAATAAATCAACAAAGAGCAGGAATTGTAATGCCCCCTTGTTGTTCAGTGTATTGATGAATAAATAGATATAAATAGTGGTTGCTGCAGATGTGTGTTGATTGTAATATGAATTTATAATTTTATATATACTTTTGTAAGTAGATAATGCCAGGTTGTAGGCTTAAATGCAGAATGATTTGCAGAAAATGTTATGATGCAAAAAGCAGTGTAGACTTGAAAACTGCTGTAGTGAATCTCACAGTTGTGTTTCACTGCAAAAACAGAGTTCAGGTTATGCATCAGTAGTGAAAACTACAGCGTGTAGATTAATTTGTATACTTTGGTGTTATGTTTACTTAAGGTTGGGAACTTTAAGATGTGGGAATCCTAAAAAGAAAATGTAGTTTTTTATGAAGGAAGGAAAATCAGATTTGTATAATAATGTGCTTCCATCCAGGTTTTTACAGGTACTCCTCAACTTGCAACATTTAATGATGATCCAAAATTATGACAGCTTTGATGGTCATTACAAAATGTTGCACACACTCTTGAGGTCATGTGATTATGCTCTGGATGCCTAGCTGAACTACTCCCTATTTTTGACCAATATTCACTTTGGGGCAGAGACATTTTGACTTTTTTTTCCAACAGTCTTCCTATGATCCTGTATCAAGGCAGGCCTTCTCCCAGATAATAGAGAAGGTTGCAACTGTCTGTTGATGTAATTGATTCTGGTGTCTGTGAATCAATCCCCTCTTTGTTTGGAAACTGTCACAGACAGTAATAATACAGAAAGATTGTGGTTGGTGGGTTTTTTTTAGTGTATGGTGTACATAGTCAAGGAAATCTACAATGCTTTTTAACACAGAAGAGTTCTGGCAGCCTAAGATTGCTAGTTCATTTTGTTCATGCATGCACACCATCGCTTTCTTCTGCCGACTTTGTTTTGCTTCTGGTCAGATCCAGTCCCAGATCCCACTTCTGGATGGAATCCTGCTAACTTTCCCCACAGAAAGGTGATTTCTTCAGAGAGAACCAACAGCTCAGTTTACTGAATTGCATCCATGACTTAAAATAAGGGCATCTGAGGCACTTACGTGTGAAACACCAGAGCAATGACATAATCCGGTGAGACGGTCAGCTTCCAATCACACTCTTTTCCTGGAGGGTAAGGCTCTGGGTAACCGGGGGACAAGATAACCCCCGAAGGTCCTGCTAGGATCCCACCACAAGGTGCTAAAGGAGGAGAGGAGAGAGCAGAACCATAGCTTGTTTTGTACACTCTCTTTTGAAAGACCCCTCAAACAACCTATGCATGCATTTAGGACAAATTAAGGCTTTAAACCTGAGGCAGTCTAGGCAAGCCATGCATTTAACCATGGCTTGTGCAGAGAAGTGAGAATACTTTCAAACTTTACTCCCCATACCCCCAAAATCTCCCTTCATTTCTGCTTTGCTTGAGAAAATGCATGGCTAGCTTAACCAATTTTCATAAAATTATGCAAAGCTTGTCCCCATTCCTGACACACCCTGATAACTTGCTGATGGTCTGTGAACCTTGGACTAAATCACAGGCCATTTTTTGTAAAAATGACACTAAAACTTTTTTTTTTTTTTTTTGCTTACTTTGAAGTTAATTTCATTGTGCTTTTTACATGACATACACCCAAGTTTTGAAAGCAGGTACACGTGTACGGGCACACGCCTTTGAGTCAGTTTTGGCTCCTGGCAATTGCTTGGATAAGTCTTAGTAATTTTCTTGGCAACATTTTCAGAAGTTTTTGTCCTTGCCTCCTTCCTAGGGCTGAGAGAAAGTGACCGGCTCAAAGACACCCAGGCTTTGTGCCTAAGGAAAGACTAGAACTCACAGTCTCCCAGTTCCTAGCCCGGTGCCTCAATTACTACCAAACTAACTCTTTTTTCCAGTTCTACTCCTCAGTTTAAGCATATAACTAAATCCAGATAAGCTGAATGAGGCTTCAAAACTAGAAGTTAGCTCATTCATAAAAAGGGTATGCATTTCTCGGAAAGTGAATCTGTTGTTGTGTGGGTTTATCAACATTTCCTCATTGTACCAATAACTCCTTACAAGCAAGTCTGTGTTAACATGCATTTGACATTCACCTAAAGCAGGGGTTGCCAACTTTTGAAATCCCAGGGACCACTAACTGGTTCTGTGGGCATGGCCTAATTTGTGGGTGTAGCTTGGTGGTCGTGTGACTGGCTGGGCATGGCTTGTATGTAAATATTATATTTATATAAATATTGAATTTTTTATAAAAAGACAGCAACTTTTATCCAAAACCAGGCAAAGCAGGCAGGCAGATTGAGTTGCTCACAGAATCACAGATTCATTCAGAAATCTATCTATCTGCCATCGGCTAGCTCAATCTCTCAAATTTGCTTTCTGTGAATCTGCACTGAATTTGCTTGCAAGCAAACCTTCAGTCCTAAGAGTGGTTCGGCTGTGCTTAGCTACAAAGCAAGAAATCCAACCATTTCCTGCTTCCTAGCTAATCTAAATCTCCTGGCACAGCAGAACAGATGATGGTCGGAAAAAGAAAAAATAGCAACTTAGCAGACAAGTTTGCCTAGGAAGGAGTGAGTGGGCGGGAAGGGTTCCCGCGGGCCCTGTGGGCTGAGCAGCCTTGTGTTGGGGGGTGCTCTGGGGGTGAGATTTCTCTGTGGCCCACCATTTCTCATGGCCCACCAGTGGGCCGCAGCCCACCGGTTGGTGACGACTGGCCTAAAGAATATAAATCTCCATCTTGATGGAACTGTTCACATCCAGTTGCCCATTTCCCACTCTGCTAGGGATGTATCATGTTATTAAGTTGCTCGCTTAAAATAAAGATGCCCAAGACTGCCTTCCACTAAAAGAAGGGCTCCCCAAATTTGGCAACTTTAAGACTTGTGGATTTCAGCTTCCAGAATTCCCTAGCCAGCCATGCAAATGGCTGGGAGTTGGTCCATAAGCCTTAAAGTTGCTGAGTTTGGAGATCCCTTCGCTAAAAGAAGAGAAACAGCATTGGAGTGGGACAGAAAACCTATTCTTAAGTTAGTTTACAAAAGGAATATATTTCACTCTATTTTCCTTGATTGGGACCACCGCAGGGCTAATTTGTATCCCATCCTAGAAGTTGCTTAGATGTCTCCTCTATCACTCTAAAAGTACCTTCTGCTTGACACTGACTCTTAACACAGGAGAGGGAAAAGGGCAAAGTGCCCCAGCATAACTAATTCAATATCTGAACCTTAAGAAGGAAAGATTTGATCAGACGACAGTCTCATTTGCTCCAATTGGCAACCATGGGGTCTGTTCTAGCCCCACATTTTCAGCTCCCTGCTACAGTTTCTGTACCTATGCAAGTGGGCGGGTCAGGCTGCCAGAAGAACCTGTTCTCGATCTGCACACAGCTGATCTTGGCATCACCCTGCAAGGTGTATCCTGGATCACACTGGAAAATGATGTTGTCTCCTGCCTCCTTGCTGTCTCCGCTCCGGCTCCCGTTCTGTGGGATCCCAGGATCATTGCAGGAAGTGGCAGTGGACACTAAGAACAAAAAGTCAGAGAAAGGGATGAACCAAAGGAACAATTATTCATTGATTTTTTTTTCCAATTAGTCCATAAACTCTGAAGCTATGGCATGACATTCATGGTGAGCATAGTACACTGCATTTCCTGGAGGAGCTCGGGATTCGAATAGCAGCCATCTTGCGTATAATTAGAGCAAGGATGGCTTCAGAGGGAGACAAAGCAAAAAGCGCCAAACAAAGAAGGCGATATGGAATCCACCAAGTCCATCATTGTCCATCATGGAGGACAATGCTAATGGTGTAACTGGTGGCATCTCACATGGTCTCATTTTCCTCTTTTCCACTGCAGCGTTTTGGATGATGCCAGGAGTGTTCTTGAGGCATCAAAAAGAATACAGGAAGACAGATATTGATATTTGTAAGCAGTTTAATTTCATTTGAATGGCTAAATTAGGCCAGGTATGCTTAACCACAGATGAACACAGGAATAGTAAAACATGACTCCCTGTGTTTCTATCTTTCAAGTAAATTCCAAAGGAAAAGATCAAAAGGAACACTTCCAAGAAGGCTTTTCAGGAGCTACGCTGTTCTAAGATCGTATGATGGAGTTTTGCACTTAAGAAATTGGGAATTTTTTCCTGGAGAAGTTCAGTGCAATTGTCCATCCAATCTTTTTGCCCGGTCCTTCAGAAGTTCAGAGCTTCAGAAGGCCCTGTGCATCCATCTGTAATTCAAAGCGGTTTGTGCATATTTCCTTATATTCCCTTTACTGCTACCCTATGAGGTCACTCAGAAATTTGTTCCTGGCCAAGCTAAAATGTCTTCTTTGAAATACAATGCTAGTTTTAGCTAATAAATCATATAAGCTTTTTTCCACCTTCAAACATTCTGTAGAAGTCTATTTTTTGCTGGCTGAATCAGCATTTAAGAAAAACAATGCAATCCTGCTCACTTCAAAAAGCCACATATATCTACAAGGAGCTATTAGCAGATATGACTTTAGGATCAACCAAAACTCTTTAGGCAAGGTGTAAAGCAGTGGGCGGACAGAAGGAAAAAAAAATAGGGCAAAATTAAGACAGATTAGAGACAGCAAGTCATCAAATGGAGGTTGTGCACTAAATATCTTAATATTTAATATTGATGGTATTACCAGTACCAGGCTCTATGCACTATACAGGGTCCAAGCAAATAGAATAGCAATAGCAATAATTATATACCACTTCATTATGCTTTACAGCCCTCTCTAAGCAGTTTACAATCTCAGCATATTACCCTCAATAATCTGAGTCCTCATTTTACTGACCTTGGAAGGATGGAAGGTTGAGTCAACCTTGAGTCAGTGAGAATCAAATTGCCAAACTGCTGGCAATCAGCAGTCAGCAGAATTAGCCGGCAATACTGTATTCTAACTACTGCACCACCATGGTTACTATCGCCTTCTGAAAACATAAAGTGTGTTAATTCCCTATTTTTCCCCAAACTGGTCAAAACACAAAGGATCCTGGGTTTACATCATTGTCACTATATTTCAGACCACAAAACTAGAAAAGAAACACCTGCAGATACTCCTTACTTAATGCAATTGGGTTAGGAACCTCAGTTGTTGGGTAAAACAACTCCCATTAAGGGAGATGCCTACATGACTCCTTTGCTCAACAACCACAATCCCAGCATTCCCAATTGTGGTTGTTAAATAATCATGCAGATTGTCAAATGGACAAAGCAAGAGAGCTGCCTGTAGGCAGCAGCTTTTTGAGAGGGAAAGGGCTGCCTGACAGAGGGTTTCAGCTCTGCATAAAGCTGAAATCCTCCCAGCTGATAGCTCTTTTGCTCTCAAATGTTCTTGCCATGTGCCAAAGAATTTCAGCTTTCCTCTGTTCAAGGAGGGGCAGTCCTTCAGGAGGCTGCAGGAATCCATCCCTCCATCCCCTCCACTTGCAACTGTTCCTGTCGGCTTCCCCACTGACTTCTTAGGGAAGCCAGCAGAGAAGACTGTGAACAATGATGACATCATTGCAGGGCACTTTGCAAATAGTTGCAGATGAGAGATGGCCGCCAAGCACCTGAAATGTGGTCATGTAACCATGGGGTGGAGTGGCACAGTGTTTTATGACAGCCAGAAAGGAACGTTCCAAGCCTGTCAACAAGGTGAACAGTCAATTGGTTATAAGTCAAGGACTACCCGTGTGTTAAATGGTCTAATAAGTGAGGTGGTAGCAGCCAAGTAGCTAAAACATACCAAATGCTCATAAAAACTCCCTCTTGTAAGGCACTGATACTTAATGCAGTGTATTTTGCAAGTGTTTTGGGATTATTTGCATCGTTATAGCCCTGGGGGTGGAAACCCTGACAATGAGAAAAGACTTTGCACACGCACAAACTTCCTTTGAGCTACAGTGAGCACACATATGGAAGAACTGGAGCAGGGTGCATGCTTAAACACATATTACTGATTTCAAACTTTTCTTTCTCCAGCTGGAAAAGGCTGTAGGGATTAACAAATCTAAGTCTGTTGCAAGAAGATCAGATGTATGTATATTTCAGCACACTTTCCCCTTTGCTTATTACATCTTATTACATCTAACCACCTGCTAATTTTACCTGGCATTCAGCTATAAGCCTATGATGTCTATGCTAGCCAATAAATTATAATGTGGACGTTGTCTTCCTCCCTTCCTCCTAGACCTTGTGACTGAGAGAATTCTGCTTTTAGCAGAAATGGTAGGTTCAATTCTTTTACAGGTGTATCAGGGTGTCTTGAATGCTGTCTAAAATGCTGTCTTCCTTTTCTTTTTAAAGCTCAGGGGTTTAAAATAAGTAGTTTTTAATAGAAAAGTCTGAGATTTTTTTAAAGCAATAAAACTAGAGTAGCGATCACTAGAATAGCAGTGGAAGAAAAATAGAGTCAGATGGGACCAATTCAATTAAAGCTGGTGATGGAGAAACAAGAGGGGTTTTTTTTTTTTTTTGGCAACCAGTATGTCTAATTCTAGAACTTATCAAACCTTTGCCAAAATGTGGACAGCGAAAATGGGTTGCTAGAAATAATTTGGTTCTTCATTTGCAGATAAATGCACTTGGCTTTATCTTGATCTAGATTCTGACCCAAATGCAGCTGAGATAAATCAATGTATGTCTGCAGATTTTTTTCAGTATGCATAATTCACAGATCATAGGTCAACAAAGAAGCAATTGTTGGCTTCTGAATGAACAAACCAAACGGAATGATAGTATCTAGTCCAGTATTTTTCAAGCTTGACAACTTAGTAGCATGTATTTGAGAATGCTGGATGGGGAATTCTTGGAATTGAAGTCTGGATATCTTAAAGTTGCCGAGGTTGAGAAACACTGGCCTAGTCCCTGGAAAATGAATGCTCACTCCAGGAAGAAAAGGAACGTCTGGTTAAGCAATAGGTACTCTGACTCCGGGGGCCTGCACTTCAGTTTCATTGGCTTTTAGTCTGTTGATTCTGACCCCCACAGTCTCGGCCTCATTTCTTACAAAAACCAGTGCTGTTTGTTATTGTAGTCACTGTTCAACTATTTCTTTCATAATATTTGTATCCATTCATCTATCCATCCAAATACCTCACTAACATTTGGCTCTATTGCTATTTTTTTAAATCTAATTTCTAGAAAGAAGCTATTTTGCTTATATTTTTCCTAAGACAGATAATGGGCAGGAACCCCTTGAGGCAATTTAAAATGCTGACGATTAGTCATCATTCTGGCCTGAGAATTGCAGTGCAGCCTGTTCTGAAATGTCTTTTGCTCCACTGAAAAATTAGCTCGCAGGGTATTTCTTGGCTCTGTGCTTTCCCATGATCTTCAGTAACAAGTCAGTAACAAGTCGGACATTTGATTAACCCCACTAGTTTTGTAGCTATAAATCTTTCAGCATTAGTTGGATGGCAGCAATTATCCCTACCTTGCTTCTGTATTTTTTTTCCTTCTGTTAAATTGCGTCCAATTCTCAGTTTTCCCTGCAGTTTTCTTGATGAGGTTTTTCAGAAGTGGTTTTGTCGTTGCCTCCTTTTTTAGGGCTGAGAGAAAACGACTAACCCAAGGTCATTCAGCTGTTTTTGTGCCGGAGGCAAGGCTCCCAAGCCTCTGGCTTCTGGCTTGATGCTTTAACCACAAACTGGAGTACCTTAACCACTATCTCATAGATTGGTTCAATTTGTTATACGTAGGACGAGGAAGGTTTTAAAACTTCTGTTAATGCAAATGTGGCAGAGAAAGTGGTTGTTTGCTAAGTTCAGTTCAGATATTGGTCTTAACCTTTAAAGCATTGGATGGCTTAAGGCTTGACTATGTTAGGGACAACATATTATATTGCAAGCCTGCTGAAGTATTAAAATATGCAGAAACGATCCCTTTGATGGAATGCTTTAATCCAGTTTTGGTTGCTCTCTTAATCTTTTGGTTTAAAAAAAACACATAAAGGCATATCCATTTGGCCTTTCCAAATGTCAGTTTTAGTTTTAGTGTTCTTTTAATATTTAACATTAAATATATCAATGTAGGATATTAAATAATGTTAAATATTAAGATTATTTAAATAGTCTTGGTACAAATATTACATCATGCATCTCCAGCCATTCTGTTCCACAATTATGTTGCTATTCTGGATCAACTATATATAGAGAACAGCTGCTTAAGTGGTCCTTTGCATCCTCCACTAAATCTCTGACTGGAGAATGGATGGTTTCTCTGAATTTCTCCAGAAGGAGAAGAAACTCTCCATTAATTTCTCCAGGACTTCGCCTTGGGAATGATGCTAACACCAGAAAAGGTCAATGTAAATCTCCCTAAGATTTAAATGTGAGAAACAAGCAATCTGCACACCTTTGGAGAGAGGACAGCAAAGTTAAAAGCTAGATCAATCATGCCTACTCACTTAGCTTTTCATCACTAAAAATGCAATGCTATATTCCAGGAGTGTCCAACTCATGTTGTCACAGTGGCATCACATGATGTATCGGGACTTTTCCCCCCTTCACTAAACCAGGTGTGTTTGACAGGCCTGCTATATGCTATCTGAGAGACTTTCTTTAAAATTCCCTTCCTCCTTTTAAATCACTTCTAGTGCAAATTCTTTTTCACCAAATTGCATGACTATTGAGAGAAAAATTGCTGAGGAATTGAGAGAAAAATTGCTGAGGAATTGGTACGTTATGAATGCTGAAATTAATAAATTTGGGGGTTATGTTTCACACAGGTTACCAGGCAGAGTTGTAGAGAGCTGAAAACATTTATGAAATTGTCCTCCTGTTTTTTAATCGTCCAGAGCCCACAGACCAGATGACACCTGTGAAAGTTACCTGAAAACTGAATGGCAAAGCCCTGTTTACTGGTGAAAAAGTCCGTGTTGAACTGAAGGACCACCAAGTTGAAGGTGCTGTGAACGTCATTGGGCAAGACAGAACCGCTAACTTCTTTCAGGAGGATGCTCTTCTCCACTGGCCCATCCCAGATTCTCAAAACATCATGAAAGTCCTCTGTATGGAAAACTAGGAAATGGAGCCTGTATTTGGGGGAGGGCAAAACAGGATGGGGAACAGAAAGAACAGCTACAAATAAGACTAGATTTGTGTTTTAGAATTGGGAAAGTTTAGAAAAGAAAGGGCTGGAGGAAGGTAACATTACAACATTCTTCAGGTACCAAACAAGGATCATCTAGAAATGAGAAGGCAGATAACATCTTTTTAAGATTAATAACTTTTATTCATAAGACAAGTGTGTACAGATAGTCCTCAACTTGCATGATTCATTTAGTGGCTGTTCAAAGTTACAGTTGCCCTGAAAAGAATGTTTTATGACCATTTTTCACAGTTATATCCTTAACAGCATCCCCAAATTCAGACATTTGGTAACTGGCATGTATTTGTGAGAGTTGCAGTGTCCCAGGGTCATGAGATCACGATATGTGAATTTCTGATAAGCAAAATCAAAGGAGAAGCCAGATTCACTTAGTAGCCATGTAACAACTGCAGTAATTCACAACATCTGTGTCAAGAAAGGTCATAAAATGGGGCAAAACTCATTTAACAACTGTCTTGTTTAGCAACAGAAATGTTGGGCTCAATTGTGGTTGTAAGTTGAGGACTACATATATGATTTTTAATAATATATATTGGTCTGTAAAGGTGCCACCAGATTCCTTCTGATTTTGATCTGACTCCAAAGTAACACAAGTTTCTCACTGCAATCTCAAAAGGAAGCTGAATCCTGTTTGCATTCATTCCGGGCAGAGAATAATGGATATACATTATAAAGAGGGCAATTTTGACTGAATGTTGGGGGGAGCAAAAATCCCAATTTAAAAAAAAAACACTTGGCAAAGAAAATAATCTCTAAGGAGGTAGTGAATTCCTGCTCATTGGATTGGTTGAAGGAGAGACTAGATAGCCAATGATTAGGGATTTTTTTAAATAAAGTTTTATTTGGGTTTTCAGACATACAAAATACAAGTAAAACATCTTTTCTGAAAATAGCATGGTCCTGGGTTGAACTTCTTTATACAGGCACAAAACTCAATTTCATGTTCCTTTTTGTATTCTATTCCATATCGTATACCATTTTACATTTTCTATATAATTTTTCCCCTCTTTTAATTTTCTCAATTTTATTTTGATTATCTCATCTCAATTCAAATCATTATATTTATATTTTTGTCTATTCTATTGCAATTTCATATTATCTTTTCTCATTAAACAAATTTTCTCCTGTAGTTACTAATTGGAATATGATACCTTTATATCTTTTAATTACATCCATTCAATTCTTATTTAAACTTCAATATATACCTTAAGTTTATGACCTTCAATATAATACATAATACATAACTTCCAATCGAATTCTGCTTGGTACATTCTTATAATACACACTATATTTTTTAAAATATATATATAAATATATGTAATTATAAACCCTCATTCCATTCCAATTCAGTTCTATCGTTAATAATCATTAAAATCTTAACATCATTAACACTTCTTTTCAATTAAATATCATACTTCCTTAAAGACACATATAATCTCCATAATTAATTTTTCCCTTATTTCTCTTCACATGTTTTGTAAATAATTAAATATTCATTTTGTTACATTTATTTATTGACAAACATTCCACTGAATTACTATAGCTATTTTATCAGACATTTTAATCATACATTGTTTCATATTTTCTAAAATTATTTCTGCTTCTAATATAACCATATTATCTTATGTACCTTTGCAGAATCCCCTTTTCCATTAAGTTTTCACCCATTACCTCTAAATAGGCCCTGTTTCTCTATATTTTGCTTCTGTCCTTTATAACTTCTTTTCCTTTCTTTCTTCCCTCTCATCTTCTCCCTCCCTTTTTTACCCCCTTGTCTCTCTAGTTCTAATTCTCTCTTCTGCATTTCCCTCTTCTGTTGCTTTCTGATTTTATACTTATTTTTCACTCTATTTTGGGGGGGGAGTTGTTTTTCCCAATCTTAAACTTTCCATTCTCTTTCCCCCTTTCCTTTTTTCCCCCATCTAAGATTACTTGTTCATTAAAGATGTCTTCTTTGTCGCAATCTTCTTGTTCTGCAGGCATTTCTTGTTGTTTCTCATAATTCCAAATCTCCATTTCTAAAAATTGAAATATGAAGCCAAAAGAACCTCTCCCTTCTTGTGCATCTTCTTTGTACTTTTCAAGTTCTGTTTTCAGTTCTTCTAAAAGTGGAGCCATTTTTAACAGTTTTAAACAACCACTTGATTGATTTTAGTCATTCAAAATAATAACCATGAATCCAGAAATCATCAAGTAATCCAAATAGTCCCGGTTATATTTTCTTATTTCTTTTTCGACTTTCTCTTCCTGGGGTTTTGTTGCGATATTTCAGTTAGAATGTATCTTTTGGAAGTCTGGTTGTGATTTTGCTGTAAGTTCTTTTTAATTCCAGGCAGTCTCCTCCCTTCCAGATCCTACCCTTTTATTCTTTTTCTCTCCTTTCCTATTTTCAAAAGCTTTTAATTATCCAGAAATCTTTATTATCCCTTTGACTTTTTATTTTCAGCATTAAATGCCTATTGATGTCAAAGTGGATTTTTTCCAATTTCTTGCTTAAGTCTCTTAGCTGTCAGTATAGGAAAAGGAGAAAACCAAATCTTTCCCCCTTTCTCTCTCCTTCGCAGCTTAAAAAATCTTCTTAGGGAACAATGTTATTGTTTTTTAACAGTTTCAATTCCAGGGTACCTTATTTGTTGCTTTTGCTGTTGACCCGGTCAGCCAAAACTTTCTCCTCTTATTTTCCTCTTGCACATTCTTTTCTGGTCAAGTTCTTCTTTGTGGTGGCCATTTCTGACCACCGCTGCAACCGCCTTTGGGAAAGGGAGTAATGGCCAGCTGGGGAGGAGAGATGTAGCTCTCCTCAACCTTGATGGCAGTCTCCCCCCTCTTCCCCACCTCTATGGGGTGGCTTAGCCCTGAAACCAGCCGGCTCAGGGCGCTCCAATGGCGAACACAGATCGAAGCCTCGCAGAGACGAGGTTTCGGTCTGTCGCTGAAGAAGCTCAAACCGGAAGTTCAATGAATAGAGACTTTTTAAAATTTAGTTTGCTAAACTGAAGAGGAAGTTGACCCAAGTAGCTTCCCCAATTCTAAGTTTTTAAAATTCCTCCCAAAGATTTGGGAACTGCAGTTTAATTTGAGAGATTGAGGACTCAGTTACAAATCTAGTCCCTTCTATGTCACTCTGCAATTTCTCTTCAGTTTCCATGTGGAAAAAAGCTGGTCATTTCGTGAGGTTAGATTTGTAGAAAAGACACCAATACACGATTGCTTGGAGGAAATGAAGCATGAAAATAGCATCATTTAGAGATGCAGGAAATCATAGACTTGTTATGAAAGGGAAGGAATAACTGAGCGGGTAGAAACAAATTCATTTCAGATAAATTCTCAGTGAAAAAATGATTTTAGACCAAGTAGGGAAGGTGATGCTAGAGTGAAAAGGAGATATTTTTAGAGGTTCTCTATAACATGTGCCGAATTGAACAGCGCTTCTATTTTTTTCTTTTTCTTTATCACTGGTTTCCCCCCCTCCCTTTATGGTAGGCAGTGACAGCAGCATGAAGCTTTTAATATTTTAATTCCATCTTCATGATAATAGGTATGATGGTGATGCATTATAAATGTTGGAGAACTGCATGGTTATTAATTGACTGAGTTTTAGAGTAGGCTGCCCCTTTGGCTTTTTATTTAATATGCCTGTTACATTTATATTAGCATAAACATTTGTACTGAAGAGGCAATAAAAGATTGATAGACTGTACTAGAGGAAGAATGGGAATACTGAGTTAAAAGACCCGAGCGATGTGCTTTTTTTAAATAGTTGCCAAAGCTGCTGGCTTGTTGCTTATTTCCTTGACATTTCACAAAATGTGTTCTAATGAGGGAAATTGCAATTCTTCCATAGATTATTTGCAGCCCTCTCCAACTAAGTACCGTTGTGTTGGTTAAGGATGACTGAATACTTTTTTTTTCTTTTTTGGAGAAGAAAATCCAGAAAAGGCAAAATTATGTCATCTATAATAGCAATCAACTGTCATTTTCATTCCTCCAAACAACTTTATTTACTTCTAATTTGTGAAGCTCAAAACTTAGCTGCCCTGCTATATGAAGTCATAAATCAACAACTGATTTGAAAAGATTAACCTTCAACTGCATCTTCAAAAACATTTTGTCCTTGTGTGGCGGGGATAGGGAATGAATGCCAAAAAATAGAATCTGGTGCCCATAAGAAAAAAAAACTTAAACTTAAGACCCTGGAGGTCTGCAAAATCTTTTTCAGAATAACCCTAAATCCGGGGCAAGAGATCTCTGGCCTTTCACATGTTGATGTTATCCAAATCTGGATTTATGGTTAATGATGGTAATAAAATAACTGTATACCAATAAATAACATTTAGAAGCTCACCAAGTTCTCCATTCCTTTCCTAAACTTACGTAGGTTAGAGACTAGCAGGTATGTATGGGCAGAAACATTGAGGGGAATTAGGAGTGGGGGAAGAGCCGATCGTGTCATTTTGCATGCTTATATGCATGTGGAATTAGAAGTTGGCAATAGCTAATGGCTTGGTTTCTCTCCCCCCACCATTGATTAAGTCTTAAGATGCATTCAGAAAAGCATATTTTAATTGAGTTCTCAATTTGAAATATAAATTAAATCATGCTAATTGCTGCTGAACAGATATTTTCTTGGGGTCTTTGCTGGTCTCTGAGCTTGGTTCTTTTCTTGTACACATTTCATAGCTCAACTAGTTACACTCGGGTCATGAAACTTCTGCAAGACAACAGCCAAGTTCAGAGAGCACCAAAGACCCCACAGTTCAATCCTGAACTACAAATGATTCCCTCCATTGGTATCTTCCTACTCTTTTACATTCTTGGAAAGAAATGTTTCATTATTTCAAATGGCCTTCCCTAATCTCATTTGATTGATACCTGGTGGGACCAGAATCTTCAGAATTCTGAGCAAACCTGAGCAATATTATGTCTACAGAAAGAAATGGGCTGGGAGAAGCTTTTTTTGAGTCAGTTTTCAGAAAGCTTAAAAAACATTCTTGTTTTAACACTCTGTGCTGTATTATTTTAATACCATTTTAAGATTGATTTTATGCTGTTCCTCTTTAAAATTCTATCCCCATAAGCTTTCCAGGGCCATTAAGGAACCAGGAAGCATAAAAATACATCAATTCAATAAATAATCAAAGGCTACATGATTACTGAACAGCTCAGAAGTTATCCATGCTCACATACATGGAAGCTCATGATGAGGTTTCCCAAAATATTTTCTATAGAGATATGGGTACAAAAAGAAAGAGTTCCATTTGTCCTATTAATTGTTAGAGAATTCCAGCAACCCAATCACATCTGAAGTGTCGTACGTAATTTAAAGCGTCAAAGGGTTTGTGGTGGAATGTACTCTGGATTCCCAAGAGGGAGGGGCTGCGTTCCATAGGAGCAAGAAAAAGTGCAAAAGAGCAACCAAGACGATGAAAGGTCTGGAAGCTAAAACGTATGAAGAACGATTGGAGGATTTGGGTTTGGAAACTGCTTAGAAAAAAGCAGTGCGTCTTTCTTGATTTTCGAAGTCTGATAGGGACATACATTCTTAAGTTTAAGCTTTGATTCCTCTTTGTGAACCCCCAACATGGATGAAGAAAGAAATTTGGAGAGAAGGAGAGCAAGTTAGACCTTGCAAATAAATGGAAATTTGGGGGTGGGGGGAATGGTAGTTTACACTGTTGCAATGTAAACACGGTCCCTTTCATAGGGGCACTGCGATATTTTACATATGTATATAAGGGAAAGAGTTTGTACCAGAACATCACAATGCACATCTCATCACTCTCATCTGAAGTTAGAGAGAGAAGAAGGAATGGCTTTGAGAGCAGGAGGAAGAGCTTCTGCCAACACATTGGTCAAATGAAAAGGCCCTTACTTCCGAGCAAGAATGTAATGTGACTAAACGTCTCAGACAAGTTCTTCCCAAATTTACACCATCATGGTGGGAGGGAGGAGGGAAGTACATTCAGACTTGCAAAATTGTTACTTATAGCTTTACAGTAAAGGTAGTATTGACCTATGTGGTGTTGGCTTCCTAGTCTCGTGTATCTGATAGGATTCTTTGGCAGGTAATTCAAGAGAGGACCAAGCACTTTCATTCTGTTTAGCAACATTTTTTTTTCCAAATTGCATCCTTGAAAGCTGTCAAAGCTGTCATCCATTACATAGTTCAGGCTGGAATTATACCGTTTGGGTTCGGATGTTCTCTTCTAAGCTCTTCAAAAAGGATTTCACATCTCTCTGGCAGCAATCAATGTTCTAAATGCATTTGAAGCTGTGCAGGTATGAATGTGATTAATACCTGAGAGCAGAGAAGCCCCTATGAGAGTGTTAGAATGTCAGGCATTTCTTTCTATTTCCCTATTCTCTATTGCTACGATGCACTAAATCCAATCTATCTCCAAATATTACAGTCGACCAATTAAAATTAGGACATCTATCCTGATTAATCCACAAATCTTAATTTTTAAAAAATATATGGTTGATTAATTTGCTGATTATGAAGCTTGAGCCCTACTTTTTATCCTCCTCCTATTGATGCCAAATAGTAAACACTAAGGTATGCAAAGCAAGAGAAATCATGCAAATGTGATCAATTTGCATAATTCAAACAGGTTGTAGAACTCAGCTAATCCTGCCAGGAGTTGGGGTTATTTTGACACAGGCATTTTCATGCATCTATTTATTTATTTTTAATTGCAGAGTAGAAATGGTCCTGCGTAGAAACACCTGTGCCCTGTTCACCCCACAACGTAATTGATTCAAAAACCACAGTGACAGGATGAGTGCTGGATGCTGCGGGGGTGTTGATGATCTAATCTTTTCCAGTCTTTGAACTTACCCTATTGTGCAACCAGCTTCTGCTTCAATTGTCCAGACACAGTTGAGATTGTGATCATAGGGTGTTGGAAACCCTGGAGATAGGATCCTTCCTGAAGACTCACCTCGCATGCTGCCCCCACACTCAGCTGAAAGAAACCACAAAACAATTCAGCAACTGAACTCTAAACGTCCTTTGCTTCTTCCTTTGAAGAAGGCTTTACTGAAATCCACACATCTTACACTGCCATGGTTGAGAAACAATGATCCAATTTGCACAATTTCTGATCCATTTGCACAATTTCCAAATATTAAGTATTTGGTGACTTAGCATGTTGGACAATACAGATCATCTGATTTTTTTATGTTTCTATGTACTGTATCAGGCAATGTAGAGAAAGTGTGAACTTAGCCACCTTAAAGTAGTTTCATGTATTGTGTGAATACAGCTATTTTCTAGGAATGGAATCAGTTTTAAAACTATATCTATTCAATCTGTTCATCTATAGCTACTGGGACTCTATTTTCTTGGGAAAAAAATAAAGACAAACATTAAAAGGGGCAAACCTGAAAGAGGTTCATAAGGATGATTTTTATTAATTGTTTGTGTTTACACAGTTACTATACCAATAAAAATTCAAGAGCAAAACCAAGAAAAACTTTATGAGAATGCATATTTTAATAAAAGTTATGTGTCTGAAATAAAGGACTGTCCTTTATAATAAAGGAAATATGGTCACTCTAACTTTAGCTCTGTAATTTTCCTTTTAGTCTGTCTTTTCTTTTTAGGACATTTAGATATAGGTAGTCCTCAGCATATGACCGCAATTGAGCCCAACATTTCTGTCGTTAAGAGAGACATTTGTTCAGTGAGCTTTGCCCAATTTTATCACCTTTCTTGCCATGATGGTTAAGTGAATCACTGCAACTGATAAACAGGTAATCCAGTTGTTAAGTGGTTTTGGCTTCCCCATTGACTTTGCTTGTCAGAAGGTCACAAAAGGTGATCACAGAACCTCAGTCATAAATATGAGTCAGTTGCCAAACATCTGAATTTTGATCACATGATCATGAGAATGTTGCAATTGTCACAAGTGTGAAAAACGGTCATAAGTTACTTTTTCAGTGCCATTGTAACTTTGAACAGTCACTAAATAAACTGCTAAGAGTTGAGGACTACCTATATAGTGTTCCTTCGACAATAGCTTTTCCTAAACATGTTTGCTGCAAATACACAGGCATTTCTGAACCCACATGTAGATTTGAGAATAGAGAAAGCAGCAGATAACCCCCCTCTGCCTTTTTGGCTCAAAATAAGCAACTGGAAAACTAAACAGACATTAATCTTATCTGTGCACAAAGGAAAATGTATTAAACTAATAGCAAGAGGCTTCCAAATGTTTGTTGGTTGGGGGATCCATTAATAACAATGTCACTAATATACCTTTTCTTCTTTCTTTTCCCCCACTTTAGCTGTTGTTGCAAAAGATACAAACAGCAAATGACCTGGCAACTTATCATGTTACATCTTCCACAGTGCCAAGGACTTTTGCTATTATGGCACCATCCATGGCAATCACCATTTGCTCCACACACCCCAAATGGTGGAAGATATACTGTAGGGAGAAAATTGCCTTTTTTGTTGTTATTTTGTTCAGAATAGAAACTTAAGAAACCCCCTTTCTCCCCCCCCCCCCCAAAATATGCCATATCAAAATCCCCTATTCCAGTCCCAAAAGTGCTTTTTCAAGAGGCAACTGGACTTTCTAGTTTTTCTTTGAAGACTTTTGCTTCACATCCAAAAAACTGCTTCAGCTCTGACTGGATGGTGGGGAATGGAAGGATTTATGCTCCTTGCAGACAGCTGTGCATTCTTTTAGAGAGTCCGTTGAGGCCACTTGGAGGTTTATCAGGGTCATTCAATCAGGGCTGAAGAAGCTTCTTGGGTGAGAAGCAAAACATCTTCAAAATAACAACAACAACCCAAAATCCAGTTGCCTCTTGAAGAAAGCACTTTTGGGAAAAAGCATTTTTGAAAAAAGCACTTGAAATGTCAACCATGACTTGGATAACTGAGAATCTCCATAGACATTTAGTTACACCTATTTTAGTATTTTCCAACCTCAGCCATTTTAAGATGTGTGGATTCCAACTCCTATGATATCCCAGGTAGCATTGTTGGCTGGGGTATTCTGGGAGTTGAAGTCCACACATCTTAAAATGACTTATTCAGACAGCTAAGTAACAGAAGGCTGAAATTCCACTCTAAGGCAAAATTCTGAAAGCAGAATCGAAACCAAGACGATTCTTGATGCTCATTCATTGCCAAACGGTGAGAACATGACATGGCAACAAAAGGACATCTTGATTTGTGCCCTCAATGTGTACTAAAAGAGAGAAACAGACTGCATCTTATATTGATTGACTCATTAGCTTGAAGGTTATTGGAAAAAACAGTAGTATAAATGCTGGAAAGGAAATTGTAGGAGTTAAAGCTATTGCGTACATTTGGATAGATGAAAAGGATTGATAGGTAATCTTCTGCAGTAATCCCGCCATTGATTCTGATCCATTTGTAAAGGTGGCACTCTATGACCCTAATTCATCCCAAGCAGCCTTCTGATTAAAACTGTTTTTGTCAGGCTCCAAGAACCAATAACCACATGTTCCTTTATTCTTGTTCTCCTACAAACAATTGCAATAACTATAGATATATTTTGTGAATTGCTAGGGAGGGCCCAACATTAGTTTTTTCCTACCTACCAGACATTCTAAGTTCTGCTGCTACTTTGCCTTCTGGGAAAAAGCCCCTCCTTCCTGCAACTCTGAACTTACATCCTAATAACTTCCCAGCTATGCATTCAATTATTTCACAATTTTATCACATTAAAAATTTAATTTCGTAAGAACAATTCACTGATTTTCCTGAAGATTCCAAGAACTATGGGTGACTTGGGACATAAAGTTACACAGCTAAATCAACTGGTTTTTCATCCCCTCAGAAGCTACGCCAAATGTTTGGGGAGTGACTACCACACAAGAGGGAGGAGCAGAGGTGGGATTTATCAGGTTCTGACCAGTTCTGGAGAACCCGTGTCAGAAATTTTGAGTAGTTCAGAGAACCGGCAAATACCACTTCTGACTGGAGATCTTACAATATCCTTCCCCTGCCACGCCCACCAAGCCATGCACACAGAACTGGTAATTTAAAAAATTGAATCCCACCACTGTGGAGGAGTCATACCTACGCAGGTGGGGAGAGGTTGGTCCCAGGATCTTCGCTCTCCAGTCAAGCAAGTAAGCACAGGGCTTCCGCGTAATGTGTAGCCATGATCACAACTGAAAGAGACAGAACTCCCTGCAAAATGTCCTTCGTCATGGACTTTGTAGCCAAATTGTGGGATACCAGGGTTCTCACATTTGATTAAATCAAAACCTGAAATCAGGAATAAAGGCAATTAGTTAGAAAGAAGTCTTGACTCAGCTGTTGCTTTAGCAAAACTGTCAGTGGCTGATGAAACTCCTTTAGAGACTTTAGAGACCCTTCCAGGATGTAGCGTGAGAAAAGGCACCCAAGAACATGCAACCTTGCAATCTAAAGTGCCAGGACTAAGGGGAAGCACCCAGTGAAAAAGACCCAAGGAAGTGGAGGTATTTAAGAAGTCAGAGAAAAATGCTGCAAAATAGCAAGGAATCGATTCCTCATCAAAACAGGCTTGTTATTTGCGGGTTTTGAACCTTATGGATCAATCTGATGGATTGGTTGGAAATAGATGTATTGACAGCTGTTTCTTGTGGAGGTAATGATCTGTAATTTTTCAAAAGAGGGCTTAATAACCTGATGTGAGTAGAACACTAGACATAGAAAGATAGGAAAGTGTGTGAAGATGAACACAATGATATTTACACAGACAACTTGTAAAGAAAAATGTGTTCTTACATGAAGCAGATATAAATAGTTTCATTTTAAATGTTTAGGTATAAAAAATAAAATATCATCAAAAGATCTGGCATTAGCTTGGTTTCCACCTAGACACCCTTCATTGGCAAACTAATTTTCCTTAAATGTTTGGTTCCAAATACAACTTCTCTGTAGGAGCAGTACATAACACTGTCCTGATACTTTTTCTCCAGCTGCAGGTTGGCAGCCTCCATACTTACTAGAAAACTGCAACTCAAAACCTTGATTTGTGCCGTTTCCATCTGTGATGAATTCAAGCCACATTGAGCTGGAAGTGCTGTTGACATTGAGACCCAACATCTCTGCACGGCTGAAGGAGCCCAGCAGGCGAGCTGAGTTATTGTTGCCATCATAAATCTTGGAAAAGAGGAGAAAACAAATATGAAGATGGATTCCCTTGTCTCTGCCCATCCGCTGATCTTGCACCCCTTGTTTCTACAAAGTCAACAGTTTTGTTCATTTGGTACTCTAGTGATGGGAGGAACATTCCTCATTGTCACATTGCAATAGCAATATCACTTAGACTTATATACCACTTCATAGTGCTTTATAGCACTGGCAAGCAGTTTACAGAGTAAACACATTGCTCCCAACAATCTGGGTCCTCATTTTACCAACATTGGAAGGATGGAAGGCTTAGACAACCTTGAGCCAGTAAGGACTGAATTCCTGGCAATGAGCTGAATTAGCCTGCAGTTCTAACCACTACACCACCAGGGCTCTAGTTTAAATTAATATATCTGGTTTAATGAAAATAATAACTAGGAGTAATATGATAGCAATATTCCAATATCTAAGCGATTTATTCTCCAAAGCACCTGAAGCTAGGACAAGAAGAAATGGATGGAAACTAATCATGGAGGGAACCAACCTGGAAATAAGGAGACATTCCTGACAGAACAATTAATCAGTGGAATGACTTGCCTCCAGAAATTGTGGATGTCCCAACACTGGAGGTTTTAAAGAAGAGATTGGCGAACCATTTATATAAAATGGTGTAGGATTTCCTGATTGAGCAAGGGGTTGGACTAGAAGACCTCTAAGGTCCATTAATTCTGTTATACCGTTATCCTGTCATTTTGCACCTGTTGCAACTCCTGAACAACTTTCAAGGATAGCAGTACATAAAACATATTGCTACATGCAAGATGGGTTGGGGGCAAAGTATAGATAATGTCATCATATTCAACTGGCCAGGAAGGGATGTAGCTGGCACAGAAGATCACTATGTAAAGGCAGTCCTCACATCAGATCTTGCTCTTTCTGACAGAGTAGAAGCATATCCAAAATAGGTTGAAGCTCATTTCTTGAGTTTAGTATCCTCTTTATCAACAACATCTTTTTTAAATAGAGTTTTATTTGGGTTTTCACAAAACATACAAATACAAATAAAATATCTTTTTTTTTGAGAGCAGCATGCTCCCGGGTTATCACTTCTCCATACAGACATAAACTCAACGACATATTCATCTTAATCCATATCTTATAACTATTTTCACAGTTTTCTCCTTTTCTCCTTGCTTTCTATAACCTTATTTTTCATTCTCATTCCTTTCTAAGTTCAATTACATATCTTTTTCTAATTTTCAGTATCTTTCTAATCAATATTTTTTTTGTCTGTCCTGTTTACAATTTCATATTTTCTTTTCTCATAAAACAAATTTTCCCCTGTAATTACTAGACTGGAGTATAACACCTTTGTATCTTTTAATTATTATCCATTCAAATCTTGTTTAAAGTTTAAATTATGCCTTTACAGTTATAACATTCATTTTCTAACCTCTGTTTGATAACACATAACTATTGTCAACCGAATTCTGCTTGGCACATTCCCTTAAAGATAGACACTAAGTTCTTGAAAAAAAATGTATATCTGTATATATCTGTATATATATGTATAACAATAGTAAATGAAATAATTATTCTGTTGAAGTTCAGATCAGCCATTAATATTAATAGCAATCTTTTACATTTTTATTTAAAATATTTCCCTCTTTAACAAACATTACTGAATATCAGTTGTCATTCACTTTAATTACCTATATTTCATATTTTACTCATTACTGTCTTAAAACAAAAAACAAAACAATAGTTATTAACAGTAGTCAATAAAATTATTATTCTTATTCAAATTCATCCTGTCAACCAGGGGTGGGATTCAATTTTTTTAACAACGGGTTCTGTGGGCGTGGCTTAGTTGGTGGGAGTGGCTTGGTCATCATGTTATTGGCTGGGTGTGACCAACTCAATATCACCCACATCGAGGCACGCATGTCCTTGCCTGGCCTCTCATGACTGTGGGAATGCTGCCATAGTCGTAAGTGGGAAAAATGGTCATAAGTCACTTTTTTCAGTGCCATTGTAACTTTGAATGGTCACTCCACACAAGCAAAGTACCAGCAAAGGAGGGGAAAAAAACTCCAGAGAAGTTCCTGAAACAGGAAGTCTAGTCCTGCCAAGAATGTAATAAGGGTTAATGGAGAGGCAGTTTCTGTAAGCAACACCAGAATGTTTCCTTCCTGCCTTCCTTACAGGATTAGGCCAGTAATTTCTTGTAACAACCGGTTCTCCGAACTGCTTAGAATGTTAAGAACCGGTTCTAGCGAATAGGTGTGAACTGGTAGAATCCCACCCCTGCTGTCAACTGATATTAAAAATCTTCCATGTTTCTTTTCAATGATATACCTTTTTTCAAATCATTGAGAGCCTTATTCTCTTATCCTCTTTGTTTCCTTTAATTGACAAATATTCCATTACATATCAATGCCAATTTTATCTGTCACTTTAATCATCTATCATATTTTCTAACTCTTTTCTATTTCTAGTATAACAATGCTATTTCATGTACCCTTGCAGAATCCTCTCTTCAAATTAAATTTTAACCATTGTCTCTGTGTCTTTTAAATAGGTGTATACCTTTAATTCTTATACATTTTTCCTGATTCTCCATATCTTGCTTCTGTCTTTTATAACTTCTTTTCCTTTCCATCTTCCCCCTCTCCCTACCCTTTTTGTTCCCTTTTCTATCTAATTCTCCCTTCTGTGATCCTCCCTTCTGCTTCTTCTTAATGTCATAGTTACTTTTCAAATTATTCTTTTTTTTGGTTGTTGCTTCAAGTCTTAAGTTTTTAACTCCCCCCCCCCCTTTTCCTTTTTTACCCCACTTAAAATTGCGTGGTCATTAAAAATGGCTTCTTCTTTATCCCAACCTGAAAGATGGCTCTTTCAGCATATAGAATAAGAGAGAAGCTCAAAGCCTCTAGCTGCTACAGCTTATGATACCCCCCCACCCCACCCCCAACTTCAACAGCCCTTTCTGCCAAAAATGAGTGGTGCAATTTTCCATCATTTTTGTGGATGGAAATGCAAACTGATAGAGTTGCAGATTTGGTCTGGGATTCATCAGTGTTGAAATGCATTCATTCTTATTTTCTGGTTATGCTGTTTGCTTAACTACTCCTCAACCCTCATTTTAATCCATCGGACAATTAGTCATTACCTTGAGGACATCTCCAGTTTCCAAGCTGAATGCCCTGGCTTTAAGTTGAATTCCTTTTCCTGGCTGCGTCTGGATGGAATAGATACATTCATGGTGGTTGTTGTAGTTTAGGGGATAATTTGGAGATAAGAGAACACCTTGAGTTCCAGTCACAGAGGAGCCACATTCCGCTACAGAGAAAAAGGCAGAAGGATTGACTGTTAATAGATGGGGATATATAAGTGATATAAAAAGCATGTTGTCTGGGTAAAAACTGATGTGGGCTTATTGTGTTTTTCTTCTTACACATGGAATCTTATGTCCCAATAAAGGAGAACAGTTGTAGCTCAGGATTCAAATAAGGGGTCTTTGATGCTCTCTGAGCTTGGTTGTTTTATGGCAGATATTTCATTAGCTAAACTACTACAACATTTAGTTTCTACTGCTAGACTAGAAACTAAACGTTGGATTACAGAAATAAAGAACCATCCTGTAAGTTGATCAGGATACTCATATGCTCTGCATTTAGACACCATAACACCATAGTCTACTACTACACCCATATGGGCACATTTTCCGGCTAACTGATTAAGCAAAGATGGTGCTCTCCTACACAATTATACTGTATTATAGAATCTTCTCTAGATGAGATGGGTAACATGTAGGTTTACTATACAAGTAAATATATCCCTGCACCCTAAATCAATCTTATTGTTTTATCTCAGTTCTGCACTTCTTAACTATGTTATGGAGTTGAACACAGCTACAACTTTTCAAGCTTGTTGTATCTTTCCATGATATGTTAAAGCAGGAGAAAACCCAGCCATACTGCCAATTTCCAGACAATGACACCAAGTTGGTATATGATATGAGAAAGCTGGAAATCTAAAGTCAGTAAGCAGCATTTAAAACATCATGTTCAATGTCTTGATTAGGGCAAGTATTGAAATAAAAGCAATCCCAATGGAGCAAAATTTCCACTAATGCTACTAATACTTAACTAATACTACACCCACAGTGTCCAGGCCATTTTTATACCTCCAGAGCACTTCTGCCTCACTGCAATTGCCACTGAGTTTTTCTCATTCTTTTATGGCTGGAAATAGCAGAGATAAAATGTCATTTGTCTGAAAAATATTGCTAATTTAACAAAGTCTGAAAACAATTCATTAAAAATTCTCCCTCTGCGGGATGCCCACAGTGTTGTTGGAGGAGAGAGTGCAAGAGTCAAGATATTGTGTTGGATATAAAAATGGATTTTGACTAAAAGGGTTTTGACTTTTTTGGCCATTTCCTTCTTGTCTCTACCTCATATATGTCAATTGTAACTCATACTGGTGAGAAAGTTGCATTGTTCTCTGTGACAGCAAGCGGCATCTTCCCATAATTCTAAGTCTAGTCTATCACCAAAGAAGTTTTAATTAGAAGAACCTGGCTGTTATGCCACTGTCGGAATCTGATTCTGAGGGGGAGGCCAAGCAACTGGGAGTGAGGGAGTGAGAGTGTGGCTCTGTTGGCTGTGGAAGAAACTGGGGTAGGGCACAGTCTGGCTGGGCAGAGCAGGAGAGAGGTAGAGCAAGGCAGAGGGAATTCAGAGGAAGATCCAAGCCCATCCCCTTTTCATCCTAGGGCACGTAGGGAGGAACGGAGAGGGGAGCAATGTGAGTTGCATGGCTTCTGGGGGAGGAAAGGGCCCTGATTCCCTTCATTAGCTGCAGCTGGGAACACTGTTTAAAAAGAGAGCAATTTGTTGGAAAAAATCATGTATTATCTCATTTTGTCAAAGCTTATCTGGGTTCCTGGCATCTTCCCAACGGTGTGTGTTTGGTTGGCCTTTGAAGTCTGGAATTCCTTATCCTGCCCTGTCCAGTTATAATACTTTATTTGCAGTCACAGACCAAAACACAAGTACAACAAAAGAGGAACATGGGAAAATTAATCATGAATAATTGGTCACCAAAAACTTGACTAAGGGGAATTACAGCTTTCTCCTCTGATGGTTACAGCACCCTGTCCAGTTAGTTGCTGCAGCGTGGTTTGTGTGAATTTTTATTTACAGTTTATATGTACTTTGTTTTCAGACTGAACTTCCTCCACTTAAAGACTGTTCGTGGGAGAGTTTTTTCTCCAGCCAAAGGTAACTGGACATTAGAGGCAACGTTGGAGGTATTAAAGGGACATTTCTTACTTATGTGACTGTGTTGCCTTTGTGCCATGCCCCGGGTCATCACACTGGCTTCCAGATGTTAGGAGAATCTCTGCTGCTAAATTTTTTTGTGCGTTGTGATTATCTGCACCACACCACTTCCACAGTTAAAAATGTATGTCCCAGTATACCCAGGAACCATTTGGAAATGGATATTTTGGTTTCAATTTCATTAATTTCCCTAAATTAAATCTATTTTTCTACTGTCACAGTTTGCAGTCACAAACAACAGAATCATGTTGTGGGCTTGTTTGCAATTTAGAGAAAGATATGCATGTATTGTTTATTAGATTTAGATCCTATCTTTACTTTCGTACTCAAAGTGTTCTCTCCTTCCATGTTCCCAACAACAACCACCTCAGGTGGTAGGTTGGACTGAGAGAAGATGACTAGCCTAGAATCACTCAGCTGATTCTGTCCTTTAGGAAGGATTATCACAGTGTCTCTCTTAGCATTATATGAGAACTTAGTTTTCTGCTTTCCTCAACAAGCCATAGTTATACAATGTACCATTCCTCAATGCACTATGTGAATTCCATCTTAATGTGAGCTAAACATGGCACAGATATATTATTTGGAATCTGGGATTACTCTACAGATTTGCAACCGGTTGCCTCCCCTCCCATTCTTTTTTAACATTAACCATGACACAGGGATTCCCTGTAAACTTGATTAACCAATGTTAGCACAAATTAAGATTTGCAGGCCAGATTTAATAAATTCCCAACTACTAATTTAAATCTCCACTGCTGGGGTTACCTAAAATTAATAACTGGGTGCTTGTAAAATCTAATTCACAAATCTTAATTTGTGATAATGAAGGCTAACCTAGATGTTTGTGCAGATGTAATGTTGCCTGTACTCCATGACCTGACTACTTGGCTTTGATTATTTTTTTTCATCTCTCTAAGATCAAAGGATGATCAAGCACATGGACAGTGCAAAATATATCATAAGACCAGCAATTCCAGGCTCCTGGTCTTGTTTATTCACTCAAGCCTTATCCATCTCCTGATGCTTCCCACAGATCAAAAGCAAGAAAGGCTAAAGAGCTTGCCCTAGGTACATTCTGATACACTAGACTGCCCAAGCAAAATTAAAGCACGTGACCACCTACCAACACACCTTGGCAGTGGCGAACTCCACACACGCCGTCTACCGCCCAGACAAGTAATGCTGGAGACACCTTCTAGTCGGTACCCAGGGAAGCAGGAGAAAGTCAAGATGTCCCCCACACCAAACTGAAGACCTTTGCGAATGCTGTAGATCGGCACTTCAGGCTCCTCACAAGGTTCTAGGTCATATTCTGATGGGCAGAGAAACATAAGCAACCACTGGAGCATTACCCCCAAACTGGAAAACTTACACCTTTAAACACAATTCATAGAAATCAACATTTCTCCAGCTCTTTCCCTCCCTGACATTAATAACTTTCCACCTCCCCACTTCCTACTCCTGCCCTACCCATCTTTTAATTGGGCCATGGTGTTTTGGGTTTTGTATTATTTGTGTTTTTAATTTATATAGTTTTATTTTTTTATGATTGTAAGCTACCCAGATAAACTAAGGTATGATGGGTAGCCTATAAATTAAATTATTAATAAATACATCTGGCATGTCAAGATTTCCTGAGATGTTGCAATCGTTTTCTTGACCATACAGCACTGATCTTCTATGCACACGACAATCTGCCTTGAAAAGGCCTTGAAAATTATTCAGCATTTTTATTGGGGAGATTGGGGGCTGGAGAGGAACAGGTTGTGATCCAATCTGAAGAAACAAACATGTTTTCCAATCTTCATTCCAAGGAGAAGAGAAAGTTGTGGTGCACCTGAACTTCTTTAGAAGGTCCTTTTTACTGTCTACTCCTCCTCCTGGCTGCAGTTTACAAGTCCGAGACTACAATTTTCACACTTTACTCCAAGAAAAGAAGCTAATACCATGGATTTTCCTCCTCTCTGTGCCCAGCAAGGATAGATAGCGACTCTTGAGAAATTGTTGGAGATTTTCACCTCTCCCTGGATTTCTAAGGAAGCATCCCCCTGATGGCTCTGCCTACTGATTTGGTGGAGAAATCATTTGGATCCTTAGGCCAAGAATTATCCTATAACTGACAAGGCCTTGGAGGCAGGATAAACTATTTTGCCTTTGGGCAAAGAGGAAAAGGAAAACTCCAGCCACCCCTGTGTGAAGCCTTTCCCTACTTGAAAACGCAGAGGTTAAACGTGAGTCTTTCTACATACAAATAGTAGATACTCTTATAGTGAGCAATTCTTCTTCTGCCTCCCCTTTAACTCTGCTAAGATTGCTGACTCTTGGCTTTGCTAGAAATAAAACTATGCCTTTGCAGTGCTAATTCCTCCATATTAATGTGGCAAGGCAGATCCCACTGGGAAAATGTCTCCTCTATTTTTAGGCAGAAGTAAATTTTAGCTGAGTTACAGCAAATTACCATCCTTTCACCCACTGTTTGTGTGCGTGTGTGTCTGTCTGTCAGTGGACAGTGTTATTTTTTCAATGCACCTTTTTTTTTAAAAAAAAAGTATCTTCTGGTCCTGGAATCAATTTTTAATGTTTTGTTATTTTATTAGCATATAACATATTACAATCAAAACTACAAAACTGGCAAACAAATAATGCAATGGAAACCAGACCATTATACACATATTGAGGACGGTAGGGCTGCAACTGCTTGTTTGCTACCAATCAAGATAGAAAATAAAAATAGTAAAACATGCCGTAGATTGGAACAAATTGGAACCCATTCATTAAAAAATAAAATAAAACTGCACATGCTGGAGAAAATAGTCAATATGGAAGCAATCTTTTCCTATAGCTTCCCTAATTTTTATTTCTTAGATCTGGCATTAGCTCCTCTGTTGTACATGACACAATATATTTTCACATGCTAATGTTGTTAAAATTAAAATGAAGGTAGAATGCTGCAACGGAAGGTACAGCATTTACAGTCATCTTTATTTCTTTAAAAGAATTATGAGAACACTTTGCTGATAGGGAGAGGAGAGTCAAAAATAAGCTGAGGATTGAGAGCAAGGATCCTTGTGGATTAGACAGAGAAGCCTGGAGTAATCTCATTAGTCTGCCTTCTGGTTATATGCTGCTTTCTGACTAAGCCCACTGTGATAGCCATGTGGTCAAAATGTCAATTCTACCCACTGTCTCAAACTTCTGCTTTGGTTTTTAAGTGTAAAGGGTTTTGCTAACAGCACATGGCTTACAGCCACAGAATGGCTGTATGAAGAGCAGGCCCAACATTTATAGTGGTTTATGATTGACTAAGATTGTCATAAACCAAGGCGGGCCAAGGACTGGTCAGTGTTTTTTTTTTTTAATCTAAAGTAAATGTTCAGTATCTAGAATATGTCTCTCCAAGATGTCCATTTCTTGTCTCCAATGCCATTTCTTGGCGATGAAAGAAGTCCTGTCCAGGGTATTTACTTACTTCCCAAGTACCAGCCCTTACCTGAAAAAGTGATATTGAAGCCTTCATAAGAAATGGAGAAGTCCGAAATGAAGCGGATCTGAGCAGAGAAATTCCCAAAGAGACCAGCGCTAAAAGGAGCAGGCAGGTGGGAACCAGTGAGCTGTTTCAGTGGCTGACTGAAGCTGCCATTTTCAGTGATCAACAGGTAGTCATGACCGCTCTCCAAGTGGAAAGTGTGGAAAGTGAAGAAAACACCTGGAGGTAATAAAGTTCAAGAGATATGCTACTTCAGAGATACCTGAATGTTGCTGAGAACTGGATCATGATTAATCAGAGAACAGAAATCACAGAACTACCAAATCCCACCAACCACAAAATTAAAGTCCCATAGCATTCTTTATTTGACAAAGAATCAGCTTTACAACATGAATGAATGAATGAAATAATGAATTAATGGATATTTCAGAGATTGTGCAAAACATCAACAAAGTACATCAACACTGGAAACTTTAGGATCTCAATAGCTTTGGTATAAGGTACATAGAGAAGTGTGTTTAAAGCAATAATGGTGGAAAGAATGGAAAGGTCTAGATTTGATCAGAATAACAGTTTCACAATATGACTCTTCGATGATTCTCCTTGTATTAAACCTAATCTAGGAATTTTTCAGGCAATCTTCTGGATTTGGAAACCACAGAAAACTAGGAACATGGTTTTAAAAATAAAGGGAATACAACACAATAAATCTAAGATAGTCATCCATGAATTCTCCACTTTCAATTATGGTGTGTTTTCTTTCCATCCCTGTGGGAAGCACAGAGAACTCAACACAATTCCAACTCTATCAAAGTTTTATCAACTGGCAGTGGGACCATCAACTTGAGAGAAAGAAAATGAGTAGAAACCTTTAACCTAGAAAATTGAGTCAGACTCAGAGAACTCAGGGGATCATAGTTTGCTGTAAATATGATATAGTAAAACTGCTTAGCTCTGTCTGGAAGTTCCCATTGTGAGATTATCTAGTGGATGAAATGCCCTCTGATGATGCTGTAACTTGCACATTAAGGGAACGGTCATCAATATTAATTTTCTTTTCTTGAATCTTTGGGATTACCTCCAAATCTTAAGTTTAATTATCTTTGTTGGGCTCTCAAGACCTATTTCAGATGCAGTATGTGAGGATCTAACTCTCTGGGGAAGGCCGTAATGCTGAGAAAGGTTAAAAGAAAGAGAAGAATGCAACAGGAGCAAAGTGGATAGTTATACTAGCCATGAATGCGTTATTGGAAGAGCTAAAGAATCAGGTTAGGGACAGATTGCATTAGAGAACAATCTATGGGGGGTCCTAAAAGTTAACAATGACTTTGTGGCACTTAATCAGTTAATCAATCAAGACCTCTAAAGTCTGTCCTGGTTTGTTAATTCTTGAGACTCCAGACATTTCCAGCTGAGTGCTCCATCATTGGAGGTTTTTAAGAAGAGATTAGACAGCCATTTGTCTGGAATGGTGTAGGGTCTTCTGCTTGGGCAGGCAGTTGGACTAGAAGACCTCCAAGATCCCTCCCAACCCTATTTTTCTATATTATATGTTTGGTGTCCTTCTTTCAGCTTTGATACTTCTTGAATATTGAATTGTACATCCCTTGTAAGATTTTTTTTTTAAATTTCAGTCCATAACACTATACTTATTTCATCTGCTTTGTGAAATATCCTTTCTTGTAAATGCTGAAATTCAGAGAGGAGGTTGTACAACTTGCCTCTTGGTGTGACCGGAAAAATCTGGAACTCACTCAAAACCATAGAAATGGTGGTAGACTTTAGGAGAAACCCTTCTATGCTACCACCTCTTACAATACTAGACAACACAGTATCAACAGTAGAGACCTTCAAGTTTCTAGGTTCTATCATATCTCAAGACCTAAAATGTACACCTAGCATCAAAAATGTCATTAAAAAAGTACAGCAAAGAGTCTTCTTTCTGCACCAACTCGGAAAGCTCAAACTGCCCAAGGAGCTGCTGATCCAGTTCTAAAGAAGAATTATTGAGTCTGTCATCTGCACCTGTACAACTGTCTGGTTTGGTTCTGCAACCCAACAGGACAGACACAGACTTCAGAAGATAATTAGGACTGCAGAAAAAACAATTGCTACCAACCTGCCTTCAGCCGAGGACCTGAATAATGCTCGAGTCAAAAAGAGGGCTGTGAAAATATTTACTTCCTGAATGTCAGGAAACAAATAATTCTCTTTACACTGTCAAACTATTTACTAAGTCTGCATTAATATTACTATTACTATTCATCTCCTCATCCTTCCTTTCACCCATCTCCTCCCACTTATGACTGCATGAATGCAACTTTGTTGCTTGTATCCTTATGATTTTTAATTGACTTTTTACTAGTATAATTTGATTTGATCACTTATTATGTTTCCTAGTATGATTTGATTGCTTATTTGTACCCTTTGATTACTATTAAGTGTTATACCTATGATTCTTGATGAATGTATTTTTTTTCCTTTTTCTTTTTATGAACACTGAGAGCATTTGCACCAAAACAAATTCCTTGTGTGTCCAATCACATTGGGCCAATAAAGAATTCTATTCTATTCTATTTATCACTAAGGTTTCTTCTCAGTTGCTGAGAAGCAAACCTTTCATAGAGAAAGTTTGCATCTCATTCTGAGATGTACAGTAATTGGATGTGTAATCTTGCCATGGTGAAATTATTATAGAAACCTACTGGGTAAGAATCTATATGGTTATAATATTAGCTATTTTTTATTTCCTCTCCAAAATAAGGACATCTGGAATTACAAACATATCCCTCAATCCCTAGTTGAACCTCATCCTTGTCTTCTATTTTTAAGCAAAAGGGAACTAGAAATGCTTACACTGGGTTTTTGAGCTATTGAATTTTTAACAAATATACTGGGATTGTTTTTTAGTGAAGCACCTTAAGGGGGAAAACACTATTATTTTTGAAGTGTAATGATACAACTCATTATAATATATAGAAGTTCCCTTGGATATATATAAAACAAAAGCAGAGAATGAGGAAATATATTTGCATTAAAATCAAACCTTATGCTAAGTCAAAATTCATTGGCGCAACAATTTCTTGTTTCTCTGTGGCGTTGTTTGACAAATTATGTTTTCATCTGCATTGGTTGAGGAGTTGATTATTTTTACCTGATGTCTTTTACTGTTCTTTTTACTGTTTTATATGCATGTTTTTCTTTTCATGCCTTGTTAGCCTTCCAGAATTATTTGATTACAGTGGACAATCATTAAAAACAACAGAGTAAATAATTACATTAAAAGATGGTTGCTTTTTTACTGTTGGCATCTTAAATATAAACAGCTTGACTATTGAGTGACTGGTCCAGTCATCCAGAAAGCTTCCACTTATTTATCAATTTATATATTATTTTATTTTACCTGCCACAACCAAGATACTTTAAGAAGGTGAAAATGCTGCCATTAAAACAGCCGTGATACAATATGTTAAGGAAACAATCCTTCAGACCTACAGAATGTTAAAAATATAAAATAAAAATCATAGAAAGAACAAGCGAAAAAAAAAGAGATGGCATCATTTAAGAATCAAAATTTTAAACAATTCTAAGTACTTTAACTACTAAAATCCTTGTACAGTAGGAGCTGACTGAATTTCAAGAGGACAAGTTCCATTATACCAGTGCTGCAACATGGAAATAACATCCAGGGACATTCATTTCCCCTCCTAAAAGTGGGGATCTGCCGACATATTCCTCTGGGACCTTAACATTCCAAATCTAACAGGCAGTTCATCTCTCTCTCTCTCTCTCTCTCTCTCTCTCTCTCTCTCTCTCTTTTGTTCACCACATATTCCCTAATTGGCTAAGATCTCTTAGTGAAGGAGTTAAAAAATGTTCAATGTGGGCAAATGACAACTAAGTCTCAGGGTTGTAAAGATAATATATCCAAGGGGGATATACAAGGGGATTTTTGGACTTTTGGCATACCCCTTCTTCATTATTCCAAAAGGCCAATCTTCCTTAACACAAAGAAAGGGCTATTTCACATCTTGCCTGCTATCTCCACACTACTTTTGGGCAAGTATACTTGTATACTCTCTACTATACACAGAGAGTATACAAGTATGTCTCTTATAGATAGTTGTTGGCTCTTAGAATGATGTGTAATTAAATGGAGACAATTCCCCCCACCCAGTCAAGATTCTCATTCAACACTCTCTGAATATAGGGAGCCTGCTTACAGGATTATTTCCACCTAAGTTGATGATGCAATTTTCAGGAGGAGTATTCAGGGTGGAGATTACTGCAGGCGTGAAGAACTGCAGTATATCAAGTGGAGACCATTGGTCCATTTAGCTTTAAGCTCTGTCTTCAAACAGCAACTGCCAACTCCTTATTAAGAGCTGATCAGTGCCTAGGGATTACCATGAAGTGAGGCTGCTAACCGCAAACAAGTATATATATCAGAAACAAAGCCAAGAGCCTCAAGGCTTTGATAACACAAGATTTAAGCAGTTTAGAAAGTTAATTCTAAGGGATAAGAAATGGACATGCTCAGATTTAGCTGGGTAAAAAAAAATCTTTAACTTTCCATTTTCAAAGGAGGAGATGGCTCCTTTTTCATGGGAGAATAGGAGACACTGATATTCCTCATGTGTGGATGAGCCTCTTTCTGCCCTTCTGTTTCAACTCCTTCCCTCAAAACGATGCTATAGAGCGCTGTACACCAGAACACCTAGACACAAGAACAGTTTTTCCCCAATGCCATCACTCTGCTAAACAAATAATTCCCACAACACTGTCCAACTATTTACAAAGTCTGCACTACTATCACTATTAATCTTCTCATCACTCCTTATCACCCATCCCCTCCCATTGGTGGCTGTATGACTGTAACTTTGTTGCTTGTATCCTTATGATTTATATTGACTATTTCCTAATACATTTTGATTGCTTACTGTACCCTATGACTATCATTAAGTGTTGTACTTTGTGATTCTTGATTCTTGATGAATGTATCTTTTCTTTTATGTATACTGAGAGCATTTGCACCATGACAAATTCCTTGTGTGTCCAATCACACTTGGTCAATAAAGAGTTGAGTTCTATTCTATTCTATTCTATTCTATTCTATTCTATTCTATTCTATTCTATTCTATTCTATTCTATTCTATTCTACTCTAGGGCAGTGATTCTCAGCCTGAGCAAGTTCAAGATGTGTGGATTTCAGCTCTCATAATTCCCCATCCGGCATGCCACTTACCAATTATGGGAGTTGAAGTCCACACATTTTGAACTTGCTCAGGTTAAGAATCACTGATTTAGAGACTGTGAAACCAAGGGAAAACAAGAGAAAGCAGATAATGCTTCAAGAAATATACTTCAATTTATTATTATTATTATTATTATTATTATTATTATTATTATTATTATTATTTTCATGATAGATTTCAATTTCAAGGTATATAATGGGAAGCTTTACAATAATGGAAGGATGAAGTGTAAGTGTGTGTGTGTGTGTGTGTGTGTGTGTGAGAGAGAGAGAGAGAGAGAGAGAGAGAGAGAGAGAGAGAGAGAGAGAGAGAGAGAGAGAGAGAGAGAGAGAGAGACTATTGTGCACACTTGCACAAAATCTTTCCCTCTAGAAGAATCAGCCTGACAGGTAGACAGAAAGATGGAAAAGTCCAAATAGAACTGTTATTTAAGATGTCCCAAAGGTGCTTTTTCGAGATGCAACTGAACATTCTGGTTTTTCCTTGAAGACATTTTATCTTCCAAGAAGCTTCTGAAGAGCTGAAGAAGCTTCTTGGTTGAGAAGTGAAATGTCTTTAAAGAAAAATCAGAATGTCCAGTTGCCTCTTGAAAAAGTATCTTTGGGATACCCTAGATTGAAACAAATTGGCAGCCACTCATTTAAAAAATAATGGATTTAAAACTACCCATCCTGTACAAAACAACCAATGTAGAAACAATCTTTTTCCTGTACTTTATTTCTAAGTTTCCTGAATTTTATTTCTTTAATCTGGCAATAGAGCCCTCTGATGTACATGACAAAATAAAAATTTAAAATATTAATGTTGGTGTGAGGGAAGACAAGAATATGTTGAAGGTTAATAGTCCTGGTGGATTAGACAGAAGAGCCAGGAATAATCTCGCTAATCTGCCTTCTGGCAATTTATTGCTTTCTGGCTAAACCTCCATGATAGCCATGTGGTCAAAATGATGGGAAATTGGGCTGAGGGTCCCAGGATTCCTATTTTCCCAGCAAAAAGGAAAAAATATAGTGCTTGGGAGAAGTAGTAAACATGGAGCTAAAACACACTGTAAATTCCTGATAGCTGTCCAGGGTCCTGAAATCACTGCATGTGATGATGCTTTGCATGAACTCTGCCTTGGAAGTGTCCAGAGCCTTTAATTATACAGAAAAGTGATTGCTGGATCAGATAATGGACCTGCCCTGTTGGCCTGTTTCTGGCTTTATTGTTGTCTTCAGATTGCTGCCAGGTTCTTCCATGAAAGCAAATCACAGACCACCCATCTGCATTGCCATAATGCATTCTGATCCCATAAGGCTGGTACCGGAGAGATCCTAGCATTTGCAAAATAAACTATTTATAAAACTGGTGCTGTGAAAGCATGTTGCCTTGCACAGCTTACAAATGCTGCTCTCAAAAAGAGTGGCCAAAAGCCACACTTTGATCTGAACAAAAAGAAGGGACCATTTGAATAATATTTTAGGGGGAAAGAATCAAGTTCTATGTGGTATATGCCAAGTATTGCACTAGGATAATGAGAAGCTTCTCATCAGAAGTGAGATTTCAGGGTTGAGTGGATTAATGAAGAGTAGATTGCTCCGCTCTGTAGGATACTCTGCACAGCATGTAACTCCTTAGTAATGTGTTGCACTTTTCAACAGTGGGTTTATCTACCTTAATACAATTGGCAACACAATTATATTAGTTCCCATTGTCTGGATTCCTAGCAGACTAGAGGAATTGAGCTATTGAAGGACATTCAAAATTAATGTATAATTTGTATCCTGCCCCCTTCTCTCTCCCTAAATCCCTCTTTTTTTTTCTCAGCTCTTTGGAGCATAACGTCTTCCAATTCCACTTTATGAAAGAACAGAGAAACAGGAAAGGAAGCAGGAAAGAGCTTCAGACAATCTGATGAGTGGGAAAAACAGGCAATGTGTGTTCTGCCAAAATACATAGCAAAGAGATGGCAACCCAAAGCAAAAGAAAGAGGATTTAAGGAAAATTAGGTGGAAGGAATTGTAAAGAATGCTGATAGACAGGAATAAAAAAGGAGCAATTCAATACATAAACAATAAAAAATACTATCTGTCTATAAAATGTTCAACTTTTTCAAGCTGTAGGTAACTTATTATGGCTTCTACGGTTGCCTATTAATAAAAAGGCAATGTTTAATTACTGGTGAGCCTGGTGAGCCTCAAAGAAGATGACTGTAGACATATTTTGTGCACCTTGAAGTTCCAAGGGTATTTCAAACATTTTCCTTAGAAATAGAGGACGTTATGGAAGTATCTAAAGATGCTTAAAGGTGAAACTTTCTTAATGATGTGAGGAAGTTATCAAAATAGTAAAAGTGGATCCAAAGTATACTCTTAAGCTAAATTGTAATAGCAGCCTTTTTTTGTCTCAATGGATCTTTGTTTTATAATGAGCATAGTGAAACAATCCCTCCTCTTCTTTTGCTTCTGTGCCTGCTCTATGGAGCATGCCAAGAATCTTGTGGGGGGTAGATCCTCCTAACTTTCCAAGGGGAGGGGGGTTGATGAAAACATGGAAGAATCATAGGACTTACCTTTGCCATGAGAAGCTTCTATAATCCAAGTGCAATTTAAATTATTGGGGTAGAAATCTGGAAAGCCTGGTGATAATACAGTGCCACTAGATCCTTGAATGTAGCCTCCACAGAGAGCTGAAAACCATCATGAAAAAAGAAGTAGACATTAGAAGTTCCAGCTGTCTTGTGCCTTTCCTTAGCAAAGACATAAACATCACCCCACACATTCTGCCTCCTTTCCCTTGCACATCCAGATGGCTTACTTATGTTTTCCAGTTATACCTAGAGGAGCATGTCATTGTAATCATTTTACAGGGACATTCTTCTGAAGCTAATTCGTTAATAGTCAAAGAACATTAGAATGGATCACTGGGAGTCTTGCCTTTTCCTAGCTTGCATGTATGCCATGACTCAAGACCCTAGCTATACTGTAAGCCTTTGTTCTGCCTTTGTACACTCCAATTGTCTGATCAAATGCAGGAAAACATAGAGATGAACATAGCTCCAAGTCTGACTTGTCCCAAACGAAGTAATTGTGTTTGTCTCAACCTGTGTCTTCTTTACCACCTCCCCCTTCCCAGGACTTTGAGCAACAATAGCCTTGGAAATAGTTATATCTCACCACTACCCTCTAGGAAGAGTTTAATTTTGTTTCTTTTTTCCTAACCAAAAGGATGTTGGAAACACCTTCCATTGCTTCTTCATCTCCCTAATATCCTTTGGGGCTTCTGATACTTAGAAAGGATGCTTGAGAACCTCTAAAATTATATTAGGGAAGATTTCAGACAGCTATAGCTATTTTATCGAATTATTAAAACCATGTCTATACAATTCCCTTTAAAAGATCTTGAAGTGGCAGAAGGCAAGAATTCTTAAGCAGAATTCTAGGGTCTTAAGCAAAATTCCCACTAGAACCTAACACAAATAACATATGTTGAGAATTAAACAAGGCCAATGATTTGAACATAAAGACCAAAGAGAATTCAGAGCTCTGACACACAGAATTCTCCTAGACTTATCAGAGTTTTCTTCAACTCAATAATCTAAAGAGTGAGAGACAAATTTTACCACTGTTGTTAAACAAGTTGGATCTTTACCAGTCTATTGTAGATATACAGATTTCCATATTTAAGTCCATATTTGGGGCAGGGGGAAGGAAGAAAGTATGCAGCAGTATGGAAGACAGCACATTGCAAAGATCCTGATCTGGGGATTTTGGCCCCAAGGAACTATTTCCTTTACATTCTTTACTTATAGGTAGACATATTTTCAAACTAAAGCAGCCATTTGTATCACTAAAGATAAACTCTGGGAATCACCAGAGAGGCGCCTTCCTACCTCGCTTTCTCCTGACCAAACTCTCCATTTTTAGCTGCTTCTTTGCCCTTTAAAATGCATCCTTTCTCACCTGGGAATCCAGACTACATTCCACCACACCTCATGATGAATAGAATTAGCACAGCATATCATTTTCTGTTCAACTTCTATCATTCCAGTTTTAGATTCTTACCTTCACAGCTTGGAAGTGGCCTGCTCCACTGAAAATTTGGCTCACACTCCAGAGATTCACTATCACTCAAAGTATACCCTGGATCACAGCCAAAAGTCACCAGTGCCCCCACATAGAAATCATTCCCATATCGTAGTCCATTGACTGGAATTCCTGGATCCAAGCAGTGATCGGACTGGAGCTTTACCGCTGTAAAAAATAAGGGCATTCAATTTTTCAGTCTGTGCCTGTTAGTGCTGAGGCTCATATGTGGCTGCCACTAAAGCTGAGTAAGATGTGAATTTTATCTCAATAAAAAGATGGGATACACAGATAATTTCCTTTGCCTAATAATACACATTTTTGCACCATGCAATTCAGTATTGAGAAATATTAAACTTGGGACCCAACAGTGTTCTGGGAGAAGCATGTACTATCCAATCTGGTCAGATTTACATCTGTTTCAAAGCCTGACTCTGTTCAGTGAAACTTAGAACTGTAATCAAAAATCTGCATTTTTTTACTTCGGTCAGAGACCACCGCACTGTGTTTAATAGAACCTTTGAGAAAAACAATGCATTCCCCTGCTGTTAATTGATCATTTGGTGCTGACTGTGGGCTGATAATGAGGCTCTTTTAATTCATGTGCATTAATATAACACGGAATGGAATGGAAATGGGATTTGAAACATTGCTTTTTGATTAGGGCATGTGATGACCCATTGACTCTCAAAATGACCCCAAACCTAAAACATACATTAAAGTACAGCAAGGCCTTCAACTTAACTTCACTGTTTTATTAGGCACAGTTTAAAGTCACAAAAGTAAACAATGAGGCAAAAAAGAAAACCAAAACAAGCCACATTGACGAGAGTTCCGAAGGAAGCCAAGATAATTAATCATACATTCCAGGAAGATAACCGAGGAGAGTCCAGGGAAGAACTCCAGCAAAGATAAACCTCTTTCAAAGTAAACACTAAACTTTGATTCCAGCAATTCTGACTGCGTAGTTATAAGCTTATATACATAGCTCCCAGCTGCAAGCCACAAGGAGGATCATGGTAATCTCCTCTTAAGTAGACCTCACTTTTCCCTGATCCTCTCCTCCTTGCGTGACCTAGGATGGATAGGGGATGGGCCTGGATCCTCTTCTGATGCTCAGCCGGCATCTGCCCTTCCCCAGCCTCCTCCATCACCTCTAGAGCCACACTCCCACTCCCTGTTGGCTGTTCCTCCTCTTCCTCAGAGTCAGTCTCCACCAGGGGCATGACAACTGTATAGGATCTGTTTGGTGTATTAAATGGCAAACCTGAAGCAACAACCCCAAAATGGGAAGGGGTTGGGAAGGGAAATACAAACACATCATTGCCCTCATTATAATAATCATAGACCCATATTTGGAGGATAATGTACATAAAATAAATAGTATAAAAGTAGCCAAAATGATGGTGAGGTTTATAGAAGGAGGCTATTCTTGAGGCATTGCCAACTGAAAATTCCTGAACTATGTGAACTCCATGGGATGTTACACCATATTTTATGGTCCCAAACTGTGTGTATAAGACTTCTAAACGAAGCACTGAACATTTGGAACTGAGCACAGAAAATAATTTTAAAGTGACTGGAGATCTTTTTTTTTAAGTATCAGAGAGAACACCCACAAAAACCTATTGCAATTAGCAGAAACGTATGAATAACACATAAAGGTGCCAAATACAACAACAGCCTCATGATGATCAGAACTGAAGGCTGTCAGAAACTAAATAGCTCTGCCTCATTTGTCCAAGTCAGACAGTGTTTATTAATAGAGGAAGGTCCACACAGAACTCTCTATTTTGTCTGGAAACAGACATCCTTGTCCAAAATAGGTTAAACATCACCTGTGTGAAAAGCTTTTCTTTCTTTTCAGGACTGAGTTTCAATTAAACTTCAGAAGGGGCCTTCTGCAATTCACCACTCATTTTAAAAAAGAGGCCAACATTTTCACTGCAAAATTTAGGACAGACATCTTCAGTCTGAGTATCTTCAGGGTGCCAAGTTTGTCTCCAAATTCCAACAATTAATCTCCAACAATTTCATTTAGAGATTGAAAAGTATGGAGGGTAGAGTAAAGTAGAATTCTTTGAAAAAAAAAAACTCTCCAGGACCTACTCTCAGATCTTTGGTTCCCTCTTATTCTTCAGATAATGAATTAATTCTTAAATATTAAGCCTGGCTTAACACTTTTTTGTTTGACTTAGAACAGAGCTGGGTATTTTATGGCCTGCAGGCGACAGCCAGTCCATGAGCAGACCCAGTCCAGCCTGTGGCATTGGCATCATCAGGGTGAGGCATCAGGGACAGAGAGTGGGGTATCAGGGACAGGATATCCTTGTGACATTGGGGGCACAGCATCATCATCAGAGGGTGGGGCATTGGTACAGTGGCAGTAGCAAGGGGCAGAGTGGTGGCAAGGCAGGGAGGTGGCGGCCCTCCACAGCAATCCCAATTTCTCATGTTGTCCCTTGAGAAAATTAATTGCCCACCCCTGATTTAGAGGAACAGCCAGGCGACTCCTCTGATTAGGTAATAGAATATAGAGCTATCGATTGATTGATTGATTTATGAATCATATTGTTAAACTGTCCATCTCCCTCAGAGGAATTCAGAAGGAATGAATAAGGCACTAAGAGGGGATTTGTGATGGAGAACATTAGGTCATCCTGAGAAACAATGAACGGGAGAGAGAAACTCAAAAGAACTCAAATCTTGATGTTGTTTAATATAAGAGAGAATCCTGGACAGCTTTAATTAATCTGTTACTCTACTCTACTACAAAAAAATTCTTGTAGCTTCTGGACTGGCCTCCTTAACAGGTCTCTCTGGTTTTTCAATTATATAATTTTACTTTATTTAATTAGTTACATTGGTTTAACTAATGCCCTTGACTTACAATGACTAATTTATCTATTGTTTTTATTGTAAAGTGTTACCTCTTTGATATTCTATTAATTTTGTCAGAGTTAGAGTTGCCTGGGTTATAATGCCTTTAATTTGTATGGAACCTATTCAGATTCAATTGAGATTCTTTTATTTCTGTTCCATGCTTAGATTTTAAATACATTCAGCTATTATTATTATTCACTTGCGCTATTGTGCTTGTTGTTGTTTTTCTTCCTTTCACCTTTCCACATTTTCACTTGCACTCATCCTGCTCTTAGGACAGTGTTTTCTATATCGCTAATATAGAGACCCAATGATGGTGCATACAGTTTTACCTAGTTTGTAAGTAATGAGAATTATGTATTTCCATCAAGACCACAAGTACGTAATTAACATCATGAAGGGAGAAAGTCACCCCTTGAGTATCGTTGTTTGGACTTGTACCAGCTGCCTGTGCCACAGTCATAGCCAGCAATATAGAGATTTAAGTCCTTAGCACATTTGGGATGAAAAGCATGTGAAGAAGATCTGTTCTATGGATTTAGGCGATCTATCATGACATTGGAAAAGATCTAATTTACTTACTTTCATAGTGGATCTGAAAGCCAACGTCTGAATGACTTTTGTCCGTGGTGAAGAGCAGGTAGAGGAAATTGCTGGTGCTGATGAGAAACTGGGGGACTTGGGTCCCATCATAAACTCCAATCAAGGGGGACGAGTAGGATTTGCCATCACGCACTTCCAGTGTATCATAATTCACCTCTGTTTTAAACCTACAGAAAAGAAAGTTGAGAGAAAAGTTGGTAATAAATTAGCCCCCTTTCATCCTTTCCTCTCTCCTCTCATAATAGGTAGCCCTCCAATTATGGCCATAATTAAGCTTCACAATTATGGTCATAAGTTGTGATAATCACAAAGTGGGTCACCACTGATTAGACTTCATTTTATAACCTTTTCTGCAGCACTTATTAAGCAAAACACAGTGGCTATAAAATGAATGCAGTGGCTATTAAGCCAACTAATCGTTTGATGTGGGTTATGTTTCTGTTGGAACCTGGGAGTAAACACTGGTTTTCAGCAAAACTTCTATAAATTGTGGTCACATGACCCATGGGTGCTGCAAATGACCATAAACGTGGGACGGCTGCCAAGCATCCAAATTCAGTGATGTGAATTGTGAGGTGGATGATGTTGGAACTTTGAAACTGGGTCATAAGTAGTTTTTTTTTGGGGGGGGGGGGGGGTTGTAACGTAGAGCTGTCACTAAATGACTGATTATAAGTTGCAGACTACCTCTTTTATATCTGAGGATTAAATATAATCCCCCAAAGTGAGCTGAACCTATCCTACCCTCGTTCAGCCCCCATTTAATTTTATTCCCCTTTCCATATTTGTAAACTGCTCTTACCACCGAAGTTCTCACAGCAGCTTACATAATCAAAACGAAGTGAATACTTTCTAAAAACAACACCATAAACTGTGATTAAAACAAATGGCAAATTAAGATCAATAACCCTAAACAGAGAATAAAACATGAAACAGAACCAATTTTTAATGAGCAGCGAGAACAGAAAGGCCCAAGGGTAGAAAAACATGGCTAGATGAAATAATTAATTCCTTCCCTGGGAATTGCATTCTACCACTGAGCACCATTATGAATATGTCCGCTTCCCCAAGAGGCTGTCTGCACCTGAAAGGAATCCTTTGAGAATCCTTTGTTCAGCTCTTGTTATTCATACTAAAGGAAAAGCATTAGCTTCCAGTTGTTCAGATGCCTTTTCCCTTTTATCTTCACTTCATCAAGAATTCCCCAAATGCTCCGAATTAGGTGAAAATTAAGAGAAAGTGGGTGACACACACAAAAAAGGACACAAATTGTAGTGGGTATGTCTGGAGAAAGGCAAGTATGCCATGAAAAGGAGTTATTTCAATTCCCATTCAAAATCTATCTTTAAATTTTTAAAAATGTTCTTGCAATGGAATGTGCACCTGGAGAAACAACGAGGGGAATTTTGGCAGCAAAGAGCTTTCCCAGAGAGGAGGCAGCACATTCTGGAGACAAGCCCAAATTAACAGACTGCATAGTCTCCAGCTGGATGGGGGAGGAAGGAAAAGGTTCAGGGTAGCCACACACTAATATCTGTCAGGATATATCTAATAGCTTATGTTCTGTCGCCAAAAAGAGACTCCCACAGACCGGAGTTGAATTCAGCTCTTTTTAATAATAACTAGTAACTTCAACTGCAGTCGAGCCGTGGCAGCCCCTTTTATAGCGGCTGCTCGCGGCTCACAACCAATGGCATCTATTCAAACTTCCCGCTGCTTTAGGCGGCCAATTGGATGCTTGCGTTATTAGCCAATAGCTCGTTGTGTTTATTAACCAATAGGAACATCGCCTTAGAAGTCTCTATTTGAATACACTACAGCTTAGAAAGATATAGCTTTAGTTTGGCAAGGTTCTGTTTATTAGAAGTGAGTAAAGAAATAATTGGGACTCAACTGGATTTCAATGTGTCATCTTTGGGCTTGGGCCTGACCAATTTTGAGCAGCCAAAATTTGGGTTTATTAATGCAGACTATCTATATTTCAATTTTATGTGATAGCTAAATCAAAACATATGTCTAAAAACATTGACTGTGTTGATAGTAGTGTACTGTACAACAGTGCTTTTTAGTCTCTTAACATTCGAACACAATACAGAAGCCTAATGATGGCAGATGAGATTCTGCTGAAATGTTGCTACAACTTTAAAAGCACAACTATAATGACGTGGGAAAATACCGGAACAAAGCTGAATACCATACATGTAAGTACCCACGAAAACTTAAGAAAACAAACACACACACACACACACACACACACACACAAGGGAACATGAAAGAGTAAAATATGTTTTTCATTCTTTTTCATGTTTATTTTTCTATTTGTTTAAATGTTTTCTTTGATGTATTCATTGAAAAATAAAAAATTCCAAAAAACCTCAAATCAAAGTATTTTGAAGATTTTCCATCCCATCCCCCTCTGTTAGGTACTAAAGAGCCAGGAACAGCTAAATTAGCCTCATGATGGAAGAAACCTCAGAAGCACAACATTTTGTTTTGCTTTCAACAGTGAAGGAAGGCATTTAGTTCAATGAAGCATCTTTTAAAAAGTGTATCATAGCTGTTTTTTTTACAAACATAAATATTTTTTCAAGTTTTTCACAACCTAATACACACATGCAAATAATAATAATTTTATGCAATTTTATTGACATGAGTAAATTGTTGGTCACCTGTCAAATGTGATTTTGATTGGGTACCCTGGTTGAGCTTCAATGACCCATGCACAATTGAGAGAGTCCTTGTAGAACCCCGGCCACCCTGGAGACAGGATCATTCCATTTGGTGAGGTCAGATGGCCACCACAGGGAGCTATCAAGGAGAGGGAGGGAAATAAAGAAGTTACAATTAACTATCAGTACAAAAGCAATATTACTGTAAAACAATAGCATAGTTTCTTTCTGCTTCATTTTGTCACAGAAGACTCTCTCCATATGTCAAGGTTGCAAGAGACGATCCAATCCCTTTATTCAAAGCTTTATTGAGTACATCATTTTGGGAGAGCTTGAAAGTGATTGGACCATCTCATCAATACTTGCTGGGTTGGGTTCATCAAATGGAACCTTGACACCATATTTATTAACAATCCAGGGATAAGATAAGATAAGATAAATTTATTGTCATTGTACTCAGAAACCTGAGAACAATGAAATAAGGTCAACCAAGCTGAAAGACTGATCCTAAATGTCTCAGACCATCACTAGAAATTTCAGGGTTGGGGGAAAGGTCACAGTCCTGCAGTCTGGATTGCTTGCAAAACGGTTGCAAGCATGGCACTCCGGTGGCCATGAACAGATGGTAACCATGAGACAAAGCAGCTTTTCTTTGTCACTCGCCAGGTCACACAGGTTAAGGTGCAGCTCTCCAAGTTTTGCTGGCCTACAATCAGCATTGGCAGGAAAGCCCACTGGGAGTTGTAGCTCAGCTTCCTTGGGACTGCTTCAGACTTTCTAGGTTAAATTGGGTTTATGAGTATTAGTTAGGTCAGTACAACTGATGCTGACTTGCAATGGCTTGCCAGGATTTCAGGCAAGGAGCCAGGAATGACTTGGTGCAGGTAAAACACGTATCTGTCAATAATTGATGGCTTAACAAATGTTGGCTAGGAGTTAATTAAGCCAGTGGTTCTTAGGGAAGTAAGAAAAAAAAAACCTTTGGGGGGAAAATGCCTTGTGAGACTGAGATTGTATCTATTTCAAACATTGTGCTTTAAGAAAAAATAATTTGATAGCTTAAGCATGCCTAAGAAAGAAATTCACAAAAAAGAATCCAATTTTACCTATTTCCTGGATCATTCCTTGAAAGTATAATCTCTCAATGTTTCCCCCATGTTCAAATTGTATAATTTTAAAATAGGATTTCCAAAATTGTATAAATTCCAAATTCCAAAGCATAATCCACCAATTGCCTCCCATGAATTTGGAAGCAACACTGTTCTATCCATTTTCTCAATCCCAGGTGCTTTGCTCTGCCCATTTTGCTGATGATTTTTATTCCTCTAATGTCAGACAGCACCTTAAAAATTCTAGACAGATTTCCCGCTCTTGTTTAATTAAAAAAGATGCTAATTAGAAATTACATTTAATTGAGCTCATACTGGAGGGCAGGTTCAAGGCAAGCAAGAGAGATGGAGGATACAGGAGGACACAATGATAGTGATAAGGTTATCAAAACTGTCAGAGGATGAAAAGGAATTTGAAATGGTTTTGATACTTTTTAATTTCCTCCACTACTTAAACTAAGAGTGAAATGGCACGTGAACTAGCAAGCTTCTATGACCTACTCAGAAGAGATTTAACAAGAGTGGAGTTGAAGTAAACTAAGCTGCAAACAGTTTGTGAGTAATGTTGATGCTTTTTTTGAAAATAAATGAAAAGGCAAAACAGATAAATGACAAATCGTACACTTCCTGTGACTGAAGAAGAATAACTTGGAGCAAGGAGGTTATAAGTGCAATCATTTCTAGCATGAAGCACAAAGAAAGCATTTCCTTGCTTCTAGCATGAAGCAAGGAAATTGGACAGAAGCAAGGGGTGGTAGTTAGAAGAAGACAGAAGTCTTGTTCTGGAATGACAGAAAAAGGAGAATGGGCAGTTGATTTGGAAACCAGCTGGAATCTCACTTCCAATTGGATCACCTGACCTCTACTGAGCCAATAGCTGCAATTCCACCATTCCTGCCACCGATGTTTCCAAAGAAGAGCTCTGGCAAGCAAATATAATGGGTAGATCCCCACATCTAAGCGTGGTTGTTTAGCCACAGTTTGTTGCAAAAGTACCATGACTGAGATCATATACTCTTCTATGTCACAAGCAATTGTTTGCAAATCACACCAACTTAGTTCTTCTGACACTTTTAAGTGCTCTGTATTTTCTTGAATTTAAGACTGGTCCAACTATTTGGTACACCAAAGTGGTTCACCTTTGCTAAGAGTGTTAGAGAAAAAAAAACTGCAGAAAAAAATATAAACCATCTCCAATTTTTTGCTGACATCTAATGATGGTGAGGATTTATACAAGCCAGATGTAATAGGTCTTGGAAAAGCTCAAGCCATTATTAATTAACGTCTTACTGACATAAAGAGTGCAATCTGCATTCTCTGGTTCAAGTAGGAAAGTATATTAGATTGTTCTGAGCATAATTTTTTTTTGTTATATTCTTCCTCTACTTCCCCCAAATTGGGATATGGATGAGTGACTTTGGAGAGACTAATTTCTGGAAAGTATTTATCATGAATTCATTGTGTTTGCATTTAAACAATGGTAAGGATATCAATTAACAGCTGTTCTGTAAAGGAGCAGAAAGAAGGCAGAATGTTTTACATTCCTGACAACTATATTTTTCACTTTGCTTCTTTGAAACTGAAAATTCAAATGCTCACAGAGAACTTTGTGTGAGGGAGGAATGAAGGAGAGTGTTCTGCTGCATCTGTGATTTAAACTTCCTTCTTAAATCTTTTCTCCATTTTGCTCAGTCATAACTTCAAACACGTCCGTTTTTTTCCCACTATTTAACCCAGCCTGCTTGGCCACTGCCCATACTGGCTGAAGACTATGCAAGTTGATATCTACTGCATTCAGAAGGCCCCAGGTCAGAATAGGCTATCATGAAGCAATTGCTGGGCTGGAGACTCATTTCCAAAGCAATTTTTTTGCAGGCTTTTCCCCACGAGGCAGGCACCAAGTTCACCAAAATAAAATAGATTTAGAAATCTCCAGAATTGTTCTTTTATTCAATGCATCGATTCTAATGTGACTATCATGCTTTTGGGCTGGATGCAAATTGATACAATACTTGAAATTAAATGTTATCTTTCTAAATAAATTAAAACTAATAACAATAATCCCCAAATTGATTGATGGGGCAATTGTGCCACATAATAGAATTTGCACTGGACCAGTCTTGGGGGACCTACATCTCAGCAGCTCAGTACGTGAGGGAATTTAATAAAACCCTGGGCATTCTGTGTAGGATTTCAGTTGCAACTATCCATCTGTCCTTATACTTGACATTAATATTCTTGGTAGCAAGGTGTTCCAGAGAGATACTATGTCTCCCTTACAATTTTTTTTTCCTAATGGGAGAATATTTCATGTGGTAATTTTGCCTTTTGTATAGAATTAAGGGAATGAAGCTAACTAAAACTGACCTAAGTGAAGCTCAAGGAATCAATAAACTATTTTTTTTTTTCCATTTGGGATGATTTCATCTTTAGTCATTTCCAAACTCCATGAAGAAATCAAGAAGGCATGGAATTATACTTATAAAAATATTGAATAATGAAATGTGGTTTATCTCACAACATTTTAATGTAACCTACCTCAATCTAAATATAGCATTAAATTCTGCTGGAAACTTAACAGAGCAAAAGGCCAAAAAGACACAGAGAAAGCATGAGTCCAATTTTTTTTAAGTTAGTCTAGCAGCTTGTTAATGCAAGCAACCAGAACTATGCATGACTCAACTCAAGCAGAGGCAGTATTGTTAGTCAGCTATGAATGTTGCTAAACTGACTGTACTTTCATGGGAATGGTCAGATAAGGCTTCCAAGATTCTGTGGGCAGACAGGCCTGTGGCACTGCCTGCCAGGTGCGAAAACTCTAAGCTCACCACCTCCCTCCAATCGAGCTGGAAATTCTACCAAAGCAGCTGTAAGTCATGCAGGAAAATCCAGGACATGGGGAGGAGGCTATAAAGTCAAGATGCAGTCCACAACCACATGATTGAAGACAACCCACTTATTTACATGTGTCATCACAAAGGGTGGGATTTGATCATATAATCACAGCTATCATCTTCCCTTCTTGGCTTCCTCCCAAAGCTCCAGATGCCCCTGCAATTACATCAATTTGCATCAAAATTCACATCCATTAGTTCCTCAGATACTTATTATATTTATTTCTCACCTTCTCTAAAAAGTTATAACTAAGGAAAATGAGAAGCCCATGTGGTAATTTACCTTCACATCTCAGGACTGCATTATCCCAAATCACATTGCCTTCTTTCAAGACACAGGTGACTGTTTCTGAGCCATGGGTCCTTATAAAGCCTTCATCACACAGGAAAGAGACTGAGCTTCCAAGTTGGAGGCTATCACCAAAGCGTTTTCCATTGACGGGCACTCCTGGGTCAGGACACTCATTATGTCTGAAGGCTGGAAAGAAACAAGAAAACCTGGTGAAACAAAAGCATTTTACCCCAAACAAAATGGTTCTCTGCATTCGCCTTAGGCTTCTTGTCTTCAGAGATGAATTGTGGTTAACGCATTCATGGGCATCAAAAAAACCCATCTCATTTTATTCCTTTGCTATCTCCTGCCTTCTGTTAGCAATCTTGCCAGTCCGAAATGCATCTCCAGTGTGGACCTGAAGACTCTATCTGGGTTATTGAGAAGGACGTGTAGGTGCTTACTTTAATGAAGCCAAGTTGTTATATGGTTATATGAAACAATAGGCCCACGTGAGGACTGAAAGACTCTTGTCCCTGTGATTCTGGAGAGGTGAAAATCTCTGGACAGGTCCTTCTTTGCTGCTCTTTTTATACAAACATTCAAAGAAAATTTATTTTCCCAATAATTAATAGGTATCCTGGCCAGTCCGACACCATTAATCTTCAGTGGTTGCTTAAATATGAATGGATCGTAGTCACAGTATAGGTAGCTAGATTCTGGATAGCAACACTAAAGATTCCCTGAAAATTGATGAATACTCAATTATAATAATTTTATACAATTAATGCACCAAATCTTTTAATATTATCCCCCTGCTGTATTTTAGTACCTAATAACTATAGACTTTTGCGATTTAACAAATAATATAGCTTAATATAGCTTAGGTTATGCTCTTGTGTATGTGCAACTGATAGTTAGGCTGCCAAATTATGATTTCAACGTAGATTTTATTTGTTATTTGTCATTATTTTATTCTAGAACTTTCAACTAGGTACTATTTGAGCATTTTTAATTGCACTGGTCTTTGACTGTAATAAATATGTGATTGATTGATTGAATCATATGATGGAGAAACAGATGTAAACCTTAGGCTTAGAGGTTTTTCGCAACAAACTTGCTTATTTGATAGAAATAGCTTAGATTTTCAATTGTAGGAATGTAAGTTTTTATACTTATAACCTTAAAATGGTATATATGATATCAAGAAAGAAAATTATATAGTTCATAGGAAGAGAAAAGTATTTGTTGCTTCTCTTTTATGGGTGTACAAAGATTATTTGCAGGAGAGAAAGAAGAGGAGGGTTGCCTTGGTTCTGGGCTATATAAGTGGCTATATAAATTTGTTTGATAAAAATAAATATGCATGGCACAAGATAATTAGAGGAATGTCTATATCCAGAATCAAGTCACAATAGTTATATTCAATACTAATGTCTGGCCTTGATAGAGGATAGAAATAATTGCCTTTAGGGTGATTTACAAAACCATAAAATAACAATAAAATCCATGCCTCTCTAGCTATAAATATTTAATCCATAATTCATATGATATAAATGTCGCCCAGAGAAAATGGGTAGGTATTGAATACCAAATTAAAAAAATAGTTTTGAATGCCTTAACACAGAGTTCCCTGACGTTTCTGGCTTTGCGGACCGCCGTGAGAGGAAAGAGGTGTGAGTGGCTAGCAAGGTCACGGAGAGCTTCATTTGTGCAAACAGTGTGCATGCACCCCTGCTGCTCACTTAAATGGACCACACACATGCTCTCCTGCTGTTCAAGCAAGTGAGGATGTGTGTGTGCATGCTCATCAGCCATTTCCGTGGCCCGGTTGCAAAGCCTTCATGGCCCACAGATTGGGGACCCCTGCCTTAACACATGCCAATAATATCGGGTTTCAGCACACCCCTTCCTTTCCTATCCTCCCCCCCTAACTTTACATTTACTCTTCTCAGCTTGAGATACTTCTTGAACCTTAAAATACTCAGAATTCTTGAAGTGAATATTTGCTCTTAAAAACAGACATTGTGAACTTAGAAGTACACTACTTTATCAAACAAAATGTTTTGAGGTTTGGCAAACAATATCAATTATACCATTTCATTAGGTGAATGAGTAGCTTCAGGGCTATTGGTATGAAATATGTGTCCTATAGTAATAGTTTGTTTTGGGCTTTCTTTTCTTCAAATAAGTGGGGATTTTTAAATGCCAACATTTATTGGTTTACTATGCATCTTTGCTGGTGTCTTCAATATAACTTGCTACATAGACCTAATCCATTTTCGGTTATTGGCATCTAGGTTTACAACTACAAGAAAAGAAGCTTCTGAAACTGAATATTGCACTCATGGAATCAGGATTCAATAAAAACATGTACATGAGAGACAGGAGAGCTGAACGACACTTTATTTCCCTTTATTCAATGTGTTCATAACAATCGAACAGTGTTCTTGTCATTATAGTTATATTTTTCTTTTTGGAAAAATAAGATTGTTTGCATGAAGGAGGTCACCAGATGTTTAGGCTGGAATGTTTTGCCAATTCAGTTTGGAGAGGTTAGGGGATTATTCTGAGATTTGCCACATGCAAAGTGTATGTTTTCAGACCTGAGGTAGCTTTTCCATGCATATTGTGACAAGGATAACTTTCTTACTCCCAATCCAAATCTACACTTTTAAAACATGTGCTGTTCTTGTTAGTTGTGAAGTCATATCTGACCCATCACGACCCATGGACAATGTTCCTCCAGGCCTTCCTGTCCTCTACCATCCTCCGGAGTCCATTTAAGCTCACACCTACTGCCTCAGTGACCCCATCCAGCCACCTCATTCTCTGTCGTCCCCTTCTTCTTCTATTGCCCTCATTCTTTCCCAGCATTAGGCTCTTCTCCAGTGAGTCCTTCCTTCTCATTAGGTGGCTAGAGTATTTGAGTTTCATCTTTAGGAAAATTTAAAACTTTACCAACAACAATTTAAGCAAAGATCAAGAACCCACTAACAACCAAGTGACAAAAATAAAGCCCCCTCAATCCCCCGAAAATATAGGTTAGCTGACTTTGATGAACCTGTCCTCTAATCTAGTATGACAAATTATTTTTTAATAATAGCAGGGTTGCAGTTGCCAACCAGAAATCCCATTAATTTTGTAGAGCTGTTAACCACTGTTGTAACAAAGGTCGTTTATCATTCTTGCCAAGTCAATCAAATCATGTTCCATAGAAAATTATAGGAGAGAGCTTGAATGAAAATTGCCATGTGAAACTGCCATTCACTCGACTATGAAAAGCTTGGAATTAAGAGGATCCAAAAATAATTATTGCTGTTGTTTTTGCTATCAGCAATGAAGTTGTTTCTTCACTTTATAGTGTACAGTATTTGGTTGTTTCAGGAGCCTTAGAGGATCAATTAGTTGGCCAGGTCAGCTTTTGCAGGATAACAGTGATCATGAAATCACTGCACTGGCTACCACCAGTTTTCTAGGTCTAAGTTGAAGTATTGGTTATAACCTACAAAGCTCTATATGGCATAAGTACCAGGATGTATAAGGTACTGCTTTGCCAAAATCAAATCTGTCCATAAGTAGGGGACTTGCAAAGCATGGTCTTCCGTGCAAAATGTGGGAAAGATGCAAAGATCTGGCTCCACAAAGATGGGAAGATTCAGGGCTACCCACAATGAAGGAATGGTTGGTGAAGATGATGGAACTTGCTTAGATGGCTAAATTGTTTTATTTGATCCAAGAAAAGACAATATCTAAGTCTGCTATTGACTGGAAACTCCTTTTTGCATAAAAGACAAACAAAAAAACAAACATGATTTATGGTTTTAATGATCAGACAGGATGATTCTAGAAAGAAGAGAGGTTGTAGAGTAAGAAGTACATTTGTAACTGCTATAAAGAAAATTGGAAGCTTCTACTTGTACCTTTTTCTTTTCCTTTCCATTTTTCCTTTTACTCCACCTCCTAGCTTTCTCTTTGATTTCTTTTTATTTTTGTTATTTTGTATTAGTTTTATTTATCTTCTTTTTCTAAAAAAAAAAACTTAATAAAATTGTATATATAAAAAAGAGAAATGTGGTATGTGGAATAGATAATAAGCCTTCTGTCCTCACCTTTGCCCTCTTGAAGTTCCATAAAGTACAGAAACGTATTTCACCAAACCTTTAAACCCAGCTGAATTGTTTATGTGTATCCATTTGTGAGTGGGAAAGTTTATTTGTTTTGGTACAGGCAGTTCTCGACTTACAACAGTTCATTTAGTGACCATTTGACATTACAATGACACTGAAAAAAAGTGACTTATGACCATTTTCCCCGCTTATGACCATTGCTCCATCCCCACAGTCACATAATAAGTAAAATAAATGGGAAAATCAGATTCACTTAACAACCATGTTACTAATTTAACTGCATTTAACTAATTTAACAAATGTGGCAATAAAAGTCATAAAATGGGGCAAAACTCATTTAACAAATTTCTCACAAAAATTCTGGGCTCAATTGTGGTTATAAGTCGAGAACTACTTGTTTATTGTTAATATATTTTGTTTTATGTTATCTACAATCTACAGATTGGGGCAAGCTTAACAAACAAATAAAGTAATAAAGGCATGTTTAATCAGCTAAAACTGTATCAATCAATCAATGCATTTTTATTACGGTCACAGACCAGTGTTAAAACTGTATCTCTCTCTATATATTAAATTAACTATCTAGCTTTATTTCCTGGGCTGTGATTGTTTTCCATATATTAAAATGTATTTTACAATAATTGCAAAATAAATCTACATCTGGGATTTTGACTTTTTCCCAAACCATATATGGTTTAATGGGTAGCTTAAGCTTACATAAGTGCTAAATTTAAGGATTTTGATGGTTTATAACAAACATTTGTATTATGAGCCTGGTCTTACAGTATAAGAACTACTGAACTAGTATAATTTTAAAACATATCGTGATTTGCATAGGTTTTAATCTTTTTCTACGTGAATAGATTGAATATTACATTATTTTCAATTTTCCCTAGACAAGATTTGTTCAAAAGCACTGGAGATTCAGAAAATACATATTGTAGTGGAGCATTTATGAGGGGAGCATAATCAATTTTTAATGTTATCCTCCACTGTCGACCTCATGACTGCAAGGCTTAAACTATTATCAAAGTTTTTATTAAATGTTAGCTCTTGTGTTACTCGCATCCCACAATACTGACTTATCTTCCTGAATATGGTGTGTGTGTGTGTGTGTGTGTGTGTGTGTGTGTGTGTGGGGTGAGTGGGTAGAAGGGAAATTAGGGAGGTATGTATGTAACTTTGGGCAACTACACATAGTTTACTCTACTTACAACCATTTGCTTAGTGACAATTCAAAGTTATAATGGGCACTGAGAAAAATGAATTGTCACTGTTCTTCACACTTATGACTGTCACAGCATCACAGTCCATGTGCACGGCAATCCACATATATTTATAATGGTTGCAGGGTCATGTGATTACCATCTGTGACCTTTCCAGTTGACTTCCAACAAGCAAACGGGGGAGCATGGCTCATTTAACCATTGTAGTTGTTCTTTTGAAAACTGTAGCAAAAATGGTCATTAAATCAGGTGTGACTCACTAACAACCACGTTGCTTAACAATGGGAATTCTGGCTTCAGTTGTCGTTGTAAGTTGAGGTCTTCCTGTACTGCAGAATTAAAAACTGAACCCAAACCTGTTCACTTGCCACATCAATCAATTCAGAGAAACTTGCAGTACATTTTTAACTTAATTGTAGCTCCCACTTATGCTATTTCTCATTCTGCAAAGATGTGAAAACAGGGATTGCCAGATTTTAGTCAAAATATGCAGTCTGGCCTTAAATATTCAAAAGCTACAAATATGTATATGCCACAGATCCCTTCGGGAGTCAGTAGAACTTTGCAGCTGCAAAGCACATTAACATCAAATGATGCTGACATTTGTCATTCACTTATGAGGTTTAATTTACCTGAAAATTATCTGAAAAGAGGATGCAGAACAGATAGCTACAAACAAATAATGCTAGCTATATTAGGAAAGACAGTGAGAATTTACAAGGTAAAAATATGTTAAAGAACCAGAGAAATTGACATGTCAAAGAATGAAAGAAGGGCAATTTGCATTTTAAAAAGATTCTTGAGCAATTTATATTCAGCAACATAAATTAAAGGAAGATATGCACAGAGGCTCCATATGTTAGGAAAATATGGTGAAAGTACAGTAGTGATAATCTCTTGGATCATGGGACAGTTTTCAATTTCAAGAGCATGTGGTAGATGCATTCTAAGTTGGTTGGTTACCAGTTTACTTCTGGGCCCAATTCAAGATGCTGGTTTTCATTTTTGAAACCCTAAATATCCTAGGGCTGAGATCTGAAGGACTACCTCTCCCTGATTACACTTACCCATCCTTAAATATATGCATAATGGTTGCAGGAATTGGGTATGTCTAGTTTAATGAAAAGAAGGATTAGAGGTGACATGATAGGAGTATTCCAATATCTCAGGGGCTGCCACAAAGAAGAGGGGGTCAACCTATTCTCCAAAGCATTTGAAGACAGGACAAGAAACAACAGATGGAAAATAATCAAGGAGAGAAGCAACCTAGAACTAAGGAGGAATTTCCTGACAGTTAGAACAATTAATCAGTGGAACAATTTGCTTTCAAAAGTTGTAGGTGCTCCATCACTGAGGTTTTTAAGAAGAGGTTGTCTCAAATGATATAGGGTCTCCTCCTTGAACAGGGCATTGGACTAGAAGACTAGAACCAAGATCCCTTTCAACACTATTATTCTGTTATCCCATCAGATCTGTCAGGGGGGAGGGGCCATTTTACAGGTCCCATTTATTAAGGACTTTCAACTGATGGGACCTAGAAGACAAGCCTTTTCTGCCACTGTAGTTCCCTATACATTTCTATTTATGTTTTATTGTTTTAATCTGAATTTGTAAAATGTTTTCTTGTTGGTTTTATTGTAACCACCCCTACTTGCTTTGCGCAGGATGGGAGACCATGTGAATTTGATAAATAAGTAAATAAATCTCCTTTGGAAGCCTTGATTGTTCACAAATGGCTGTGATGCTGAGTGTGCATCCTCCTCCCCAAACAGGATATTGTCTCCATTCTAGTAGAACCTTGGTAGAGCCCAAAATGACTCCTGTTCATAAATATTAAGCTAGAGGGTCATGCTTTCTTGTGTAGCATATCAATTATCGATTTCATTTACTATTTAAGATTGGTTAAGAATGGAAGCCTTCTATCATGGAATATCTTGGAGAAAACCAAACCAAACCCCATCAGACCCAATGCTGATTTACCAGCAGTAGCATATATACTGATCTGAGTATTTCTAGCTGCCACTCTGATTCAAAACAACAAAGAGGTGGCCCCGAATCTTCCTTGCACACCTGTTTGTGTACTGTCATCCTTCGCTTTCTGTTGACTTACTGGTAAACGTGATGTTGAAGCCACGCTTCTCAGTGGAGTGATCTGTCTGGAATTCCAACCTGGCAACATGGCCACTACTGGTCAGAGAAGATGGGAGTTGGCTTCCAGAGAATGTCCCAAGGGTGGGTGATTCAGCTGTTCCACCATCCTTCACCGCCAAGAAGTCAAACTGAGGCTCCACATCAAAATCATTGAAAGCCAAATGGATCCGACTTTCAGGATTTGCAATGATTAGCCAGACGCAGTGCAAGCTGCTGCCATATTCCTCTGGGTAATTCGGGGAGAGCACAATCCCAGATGGACTGGTGAAATTGAAGAAGCAGGAAACTGCAGTGAAAGAAACAAAAGGAAGGAAGGAAGGAAGGAGGAGAGGAGTGTCATTATGCATGCAACTTAATCAGATGAATTTAATGCCCGTTCTTTGCATTCTTGGGGTTGTAAAGACAATGTAAAAAGAAAAGCAGAAAATTAAACTCAAGAATTGCTATCTTGTCAGTTAAATATAAAGTTATCTATTTCTCAAAGCAGCTTCCCTGCCCCGCTTTTAATCTTTGTTTTGTTTTCTATTTTCCTTCTTTGGAATATTCATGAACAGTAACAATTATAGACTGGAGATCTCAATATTACGTATCAAGCTACAAATAGAAATCCTTGTTATATTAAAAAAATAATAATTATATGCAGTTTGTGATAGCCTATTAATGCCACCCTTAGCTTTATTTGTACAGTTGAAGTAACTGAACAGTCATTAACACCTCAAATTTACACTGATGTAATTCTTTTCTTATCTTTAGTTATCAAATTATTGTGTCAGGAAAATTTAGGTGATTTTTTTTTTTTTTTGTAGAAATGCCATTATACATAACTGATATATGAATTCTGTAATGTATTAATCAGATCTTTTATACAATAAAACAATGAACTACCAAAAAGGGGGGAAAAAAGATTTGCTGTCTTCTTTGATTGAAGATAAATTTAGAAGAGTGAAGTATAATTAAAAACAACCATATATATGATACATGGTTCAACATTTCTACCCATTTTCAAGTAAATAAGGAGGGATTTTCAAAGGAATCTTCATTTGGAGGAAAGTAGGTCTGAATTCAAGTTGAAAATGCAATAAAGGAAGAAGCAATATTTATTAACCTAAAGGGGTCTTCACTAATGTGCTTTGCAGAATGAGTAATTAAATTTCAGTTAAAACTGTGTATATGAAGTTGTGGAAAACAACCCAATTTTTAGAACTTAGGAATGTTACATTAAGTATGAGATTCAGCAATTGGATATGATAAAATTATTTGTTCATTTCAGGCATTCCAAGTCCATTTGTGTATTTGCTTGATTTAAATTTTTTTTTCTATAACATACAGTATTTGAAATAATTTTCTGACAAAATATTTTGAAATTGACCACTGATATTGCTTTAATAATTGGTAGAATAAGATCAAACTGTACATTAAGACACAAATTCTTATATAAGCATAAGGCTGTTTTTGCTTGTTCTACTACAGGCTCTTCTTTTTTTTCCAATTTTTGTTGGTGTTTTAGATTCATATGGTGCTTTCCTTTCAGAAATTCAAGGGGGCATAAAGGAATTCTTTCATTTACTGTTTAAAAAGCAAGGGAAAAGTTTCTTTTGTAAAGAACAAAGATTAATGATAATACAGATAGTCTTCCCTTAACAAACACAACTGAGGCTAGAATTTCCACTGTTAGTCCTTGTAGTAGTTAAGCAGGTCGCCACATGACTTGACTTGATTTTATAACTGTTTTTATGATGGTCGTAAAGCAAATCACCATGATCATTAAGTGGATCACACAGTCACTAAGCAAACCATATGGTCATAAAATGATTTCAAATCAGTGTTTTTTGCCGGAAAAAAGTGCCAGGCAATTGTGGTCATGTGTCTACAGAACACTTCAACCAGTCATAAATGCAAGCTAGTTGCTAAGCACCCAAAATGTGATACATGACTATGAGGGGAAATGCAGGGAACAGAGGTTTTTACTTCAAGGACGGCTCGTAACTTTTTGGGGGGTGGGGGGGGTGGGTTGTCTGTCATAACCTTGAGCAGTTGTTAAGGAAGGACTAGCTGTAAAGGACATTTCTTGTAATACCCAAGATAATCCAGTTTATCTTTTTTTATGGATGCTGAGGTAAACCTTTTCCACAAACCAAGGCTGTCTACTCAAAGTGTGCAGGGGACCAACATTGGCAATAATTCATTCAAAGCTGGGTAGACCAGATATTTAAAATATTGAAATATTTAACAAAGTAACTTCAAATTACACTTCTATCAGTGGATTTTCATGAAACTCTTCAGACATCTATTGGTTTGTCAGCTCAGTTTATTTATTAGTTCAGAACCAGCCTTTAAGTCAGGGGTGGGATCCGACCAGTGTAACTACCGGTTCGGTGATTTTACGTTTTGTGTGTGCGCACTTCGCATGCATGTGTGCCTAACACGCGCTGTGTGCATGTGTATATCATTTTCAGCTAGCTGCCTGGACAGCTGAGCAGCGCTGCGTGTGGGTGCGCAGCATTTGAGAAAACAATTTTTTCCTGCTTTTTCAACCACAGCTGTGTCGCGCAAAGCAGCTGCAGTTGTAAAAGCAAGAAAAAAAGGTCAGGTAAGAGCCTGAGCAGGCAGGTGGGCCAAAACAGCAGCAGACATAGAACCGGTTCTATGTATGCTCTATGTCTGCTGCTCTTCAGAAGTATTGGTTCTACAGAGGTGGACTGAACGGGTAGAATCCCACCCCTGTTTTAAGTCAAACTGCAATTTCATCATAGCAGCATGGAAGTCATTTTCTTGCAACACATGTTGAGTTTTTTCATGGATATATATTGGAGACATAGGGATGGATTTCATCATACCTTTCCTTCTCAAACAGTTCCCATGCACTCTCACACATATACACACACACACGACATGAAAGGAAGCAGTAGAAATGGTTTAGTACAGATCTTGATCAAGTTGCCCTAAGATGACTTGATGTCTTCAACTACATCTCACTGGAGGTTTTAAAGAAGAGATTGGACAGTCATTTGTCTGGAATGATATAATATCTCCTGACTAGAAAACCTACATGGTCCCTTCCAACCCTGTTATTCTGTAATTGTAGATTCATTAAGTCTAAATATTTATAAGATCAAGCAGAGGAAACTAAAATTAACCCAGAAGCATCACTAACCCCTATTTGTGATCTTCCTGCACCTAAAGATGGTTGACATTTGGTGAATGACTGTCATTCAAAATGACTGAATTTTGTCTGCTCTGAGGACTATCAATATGATGGTGCATAACTAATAAATTTGTCTACTTTTGAAAGCCATTAACTGGAATTTCAAACTTGGACCCATCACATTTGTTCCTTTCTTCTCCCTAGGCTAGATCTGTTTGCAGTAGTACAAACTGAAGGCCACATCCAAATGGAGACCATAGCTGCACATTTGAGAAAGTTAAGGTCTCAGTTCAAAGGTTTGTTCCCCCAAACAATGTTGATGATATATGTGCAATCCTCCTCATAGCATTACAGCAGTTAGTAAATGAGGAAAAAGAGGAGGGGGGAGAGAGAGAAAGAGAGAGAGGGAGGGAGGGAGGGAGAAAGAGGGAGGCTATGGATAATACTGAAAGGAGTATCTGGTACTCATGTGAAAAGAAAATCTATACCATAATCTGGAACCAATGTAATAATTTTCATTAAGACATGGCACGGTCCTCTAAAATAACAGTTGCTATGAAGAGAGAGAGGTAAATTTGTTTTGTTTCTATAACATTAACTTCTAAGCACAAGTATATTTTATATTTATACCTTTAAGCATTTGGAATTATTAAAAAAAAAACTACATAAACATTTTTGCAACTGTCTTCCTCAATATGTCTTTATTTTTTTCTAAATGAATTTCTCTAACATATAGTATACCCTGTTGTATGCAATTTCTACAATGCTTGTTTTTTAATTCCAATATTTTGAGCATTGAATGGCATGCCACCTACCAGAGAAATATGAAAATCAGAAGACAGCATTTCAGTTTGTATAACAACCACAAGCCACATCAGTATAAACCTATCTTTATATTATTAATTAAACAAATTTATAAAAGCATTCACTTACCTTGACAAACCTAACTTTCAGTGACCAATAATTTATAGAGCCCAATTAAAGCACCCATACCTTCCCCATACTTGGGAGGAAGTGGGATATAGATCATCAAATCTTTCAGAAAGCCAATAAGATATCTGAACTTTGGGTGGTGGTGAAGATTATTCCATAAGATTTGTTGAATTGTAGACCAAACAAGTTTTGTCCAATTATAGAAACTTAGAACAAAGAGTAAATGGTCCAAGATATCTAGAGGATAATTAGATAACAGGTTCACCCCATTTATCACTCCAATCAGAGAGAAGAGACAAATTAGATAGAACAACAGAAAAAAAAAATCTGTAGAGTTGAATTATGGAGTTCTTGGTATTCTCCGAGCTCAGTTGCTTGCTTGAAGATGTTTCATTTTCCAACTAGGTATCATCTTCATCACCACAGCCACCATCACCACCACCACACTGATGATTTTACCTAGCTAGGTAATGAAATGTCCTCAAGGAAACAACCAAGTTTATATAGGAGCTCTAATCTGTACAAAATGGCAAACTCAAATGGACTACAACATAAAGCAAACCAGCGAGAGCACTAGGTAAAGAAAGCTTAGCCAAAATCAGTGCCATACTTCTCCTGACCTTCATGGCAGAACTGTAAGATAACAGGGGAAGATGGAAGGGGAAGGCACGGAGGCTAATGAGAATAAGACCACCCAAGAGATCAAGTAGAAAGGCATAACTTCTGCTATCATGCTAGTAGTAGCCCCAGATCCTTTTCTGTGAGAATAAGTTTAGAGTCAGAGAGCTGAAACATGAGACTGTACGGAAAAGGACTAAAATTCCTAAATTCATATTGACATTTCCAAAATCTTGTGAATTTGAGAACAGATTTCCTGACAGTGAGAATGATTAATCAGTGGAACAACTTGCCTCCAGAAGCTGTGGTTTTCCATCACTGGAGGTTTTTCAGAAGAGATTGGACATCCATTTCTCTGGAATGGGATCTCTTCCTTTGACCAGGGGGTTGGATTAGAAGACCTTCAAGGTCCCTTCCAATTCTGTTTTCCTGTTACTGCATTGAGGAACAATTTAAAGTCACCACAATTCCTATTTCTGCTCTCCAACCATCTTGGATACTCTCCAAGGAAGAAAATGAGAGTATATTTTAAACCTTATATAAATAAATCCCTTACAATTGAATTATAGTTGTAACAAAGGAAAACAAAT